GATGCTGCTTGGCCTGCTGTGTTCATCCAGCTCTACACCTTGTTGTCTCAGATTCTCCAGCATCTGCAGTTCTTGCTATCTCTGGGTAAGTACATGACAGGTTTGGAGGGATATGGGCCAAATGCAGGCTAGGAGGTCTAGTTTAGTTTGGGATCATAGTCAGCATGGACTAGTCGGACCAAAGGGTCTGTTTCTGTGCTGTATGACTCTGACACTATATCCCGTAAAAATGCAGGGTAGTTATAACGCATAGGCTTCAGGGCGATCTGGATCAGTTGATTGTGTGGGGAAACAAATGACAGAAGCTCTTCTATTTAGTGCTTTGACTAATAAAGGCAAGTCTGCCATATACCTTCCCAACCACCTGATCCCACCTGTTTTGTTTCTTTCAAGATCTCTCTGGTCCTCAGTATTTCCCAGCATCCTGCCCTTCATAATTTATTCCCTTGCCTTGTCAGTCCTTCCAAATGCATCACCTCACGCTTCTGTGCAGTTTCAAAGAATGATCTAATTGAAACCTTCAAAATACTTTTTTTAAAAAAAAAAGTGGATGCCATTCAGGACTGAGATGAGGAGACTTTGTTGATACAGAGAGTGAGTGTCTTTGGAATTCTCAACGTCAGGGTACTATGAATGCTCAGTGTTTTGAGTATATTTAAAGTAGAGATTAATAAACTTCTGATTACTAATGGTGAAGCTCTTGGAAGAGAGGAACATATTAGGATTAATTTTGTGGTGCTTTAGCAAGAGTCGATGCAGGTGTCTAATTCTCTAACAGGAGCAAGTGTTTCTGCTAGGCTGTGCAGCAACTGGGGGAAAGACTATGCAAAAGCAGCATTTTCTTGAAGATACACACACGTACAAGGCAGTATTTCAAATTTAAAGGACCTGTGCGGTATAACAAGCCAGCCATGCACAGAAAAGGAGCGAGAGGTGACCTTGGATGTAATTCCCAGAAGACTTGCAATTTCACACAACTTTTAACTGCCATTTGAATTTAGGATCTAAAAGGATTCAAGGGTCCAAATCTCCATTTACTAGTTAACTGTCAGTACACTTAATTGAAATCTAAATTTTAATTTTCAGTGTACTTTGAAATGTTTATTACATCTTAATATGTCTTAAAGCATTCCTACTTGAAATATTTTGTAAAGACTTTTTCTGTATTTTGAAAAGGCTTACTGTGTCACATTGGTATGTAATTTGTATGGAAGAATAATTTCTGAATTTCTTTTAAACAGATTGGTGATAGCATTGTTCTGAAAGCAAGAGAGACCCTTGAGCGTGCAATAAAATTGGTCAATGAGACAAAGAAGTGGGGAGCTCATGTTGTGTACGGAGACACTGACAGGTATCACTTATTGATCAAACTATAATTGATGATAATGATAAATAGATACCTGACCTTCAGGTGTTAAATTATGAGGAGAGATTATACAAAGTAGGCCTGTTTTCTCTATAATTTAGAAGGTTAAGGGGTGATCTGATCGACATCTTCAAAATATTAACAGTAAAAGACAGGTTGATAAAGGTAAATTATTTCTACTGGTTAAAGATTCTAGAACTAGGGGACATCTTCTGAAAAATAGGTCCAGGCTGTTGAGGAGAGATGCTAGGAAGCACTTCTACACACAAAGGGTGGTAGAGATTTGGAGAGGTTTCCATAGACAGTGGTAGATGCTAATTCAGTTGTTAATTTTGAATTTGAGATTTTCTGTTAAGCAAAGGTATTAAGGGATATGGGCCAAAGGTATATAAAGTTAGGCCACAGATCAGCCAGGATCCCATTGAATGGCAGAACAGACTCTGAGCTGAATGCCTATTCCTGATCCTAAATGCTTATTTAATAGCTAATGTATTAAATTTAGCATTTCTATGCAGTAATGAAAAGTCAGAAGAAAACTACAAATCTTGGTAGTTTCATCCAGATCTGTTAGAAATGATTGCTGATTAGCATTAGAAAGAAAAGGTAATGTTTTAGATAATACCTTTCATCAGAACAGTTTTCACATAGGATTCTGATTATTGCCTTTTCAGTAAGTAGCTGCTTGCATAGGCACCACTCGTTTGACTGGCATCACTCAGAATCGAGTTCCCTTGAGGAACGAGTTGGCTAAACCTGGCTGGAATATTTTGAAAGGATAGAAACCAGGGCTGAGTTGAGACATATAATTGATCTTACAGCTGTAGGAATGTCCTGCCTTGTGGCTGAGAAATGTATTTGCATGCACCTATTGGCCAAATTTCAAAAGTGTGTGAATGAGTCTTTAAAAATCTGTCTTGTCAAATGTGTTCTGGCCAAAAAGCAAGATAATCAGGAAGACCACCTACTTCCATCTCCATAACTTCAATAGATTCAACTCCTGTCTCACCTTTCTATCTGCTGCAGAAACTGTCATCCATGCATTTTTTTTTTTATTCCCACCTATTCCAATACAATCTGACTAGCCAACCACATTGTTCCTTCTGTAAGCTTGAGCTTAATCAAAGCTATACTGCCTATTTTATAGCTGTCACTGAGCTGCATTGGCTTCTGGTTGAACTATGCTTCAGTCTTCAAAATCTCATCCTAGTTTTCAAATTACTGCATAGCCTCATCTCTCCTTTTGAGGAAATGTTGGTTTATGGTAATGTTCCTGGACCAGTCATCCAGAGGCCCAGACTCGTGCTGTGGAGATGTTGATTCAAATCTCACCATGGCAAGTGGTGGAATTTCAAGTCAACTCACTAAACTTAAAATTAAAAACTCGTGTACCCTGGTAACCATAAAACTAATGATTGATTGTCAAAACCAATAGTGTTTTACCATTGATTCACTAATTTTCATTAATGAAAGGAAATCTGCCATTCTTAACTGGTCTGGCCTACACGTGACTTGAGATGCACAGTAATAGGGTTGATTCTACATTATCGACTGAATTGGCCTGGTCACGGCTAATTAGTGATGGGTCACAAAAGTTCACGTTACTAGCAACACCCTCATCCTATGAATGATTGATTTTTTTTTTTAAATTCAGATCTTTTTCAGCTTCACAACTGAGATATTTGCAAACTTCTTTGCATCCTGGATTACATCAGTCCACCATTGACTATCCTTACAGCTGCCTTGGCCTTAAATCTGTCTGTCCAATTCTCTTGTCCTTTTAAGGTGTTCCCTAAAACCTAATGTTTTGACCAAATTTTGGGCTGCCTGCCGTAATAGATTTTTTTGTGGTTCTGTGTCAAACTCCATTTAATAATGCCACTATAGAACTTCTTTAAAAATCCATTCCCATAAAATAGACCACAAATTTCAGGAAATGCATCTCAGGTCTTTCAGTAAAAGACATTCCTAATAATAACCCTTGTGGAAGGTAAAGGTTTAGACTCTGTTTTATTCCTCAAAAGGGTTTCTGAAGAAGGGTTCCAACCCAAAATGTCAGCTTTCCTGCTCCTCTGATGCTGCCTGGACTGCTGTGTTCCTCCAGCTCCACAATTTGTTATCTCTGACTCCAGCATCTGCAGTTCTTGCCATATCTCGGATTTTTGTTGATATTGTTTTTCAGCAGACCTTACCCAAACTGGCTGACATGTGACTTCAGATTTATTTATTTTACGTAATAGAAAATATTGAAAGAATTGATAAATGTGCTAATAAGGGGATAAGTGAATTAAATAATCTACAAATTGCTTATCAGATGACACGAGTACTATAAAAGACCATTATAAGTATGTAGAGGCAAAGCAATCAAAATATAGAAATAATAGAGAATGAAAACATAAGTACATAAGAAAAAGGAGTAGAAATAGATGATACTTGGGCCTACTGAGTGTGTCTCACCATTCAATAAAATTATAACCAATCTTGGGCTTAACTCCTCTTTTCTGCCCTCCTGCCCCAAAATTCTTTCAACACTCTTTAAATATATTCAACAATGGGGCAACCACAGTCCTCTGGGAGAGAATTTTAAAGATTCACAGCATTCTTGAGCGAAGAAATCTTTCCTCCTCTCTATTTGTTCCTTTGTCCCAAGACTCTGTCCCTGTGTATTAGATTCCCCATCCAGAGAAGTAGTAACCAGCAGATTCACAATCTGGAATGTTTCAATGAGATTATATCTCATTTTCTAAATGAAAAGGTTTTAGGAAAGCCCCCACACACAACTGAAAAAAAGTGGAAAGGGTAAGCTGCAAATGTGAACTAAATTTTAAAATCTAAATTACAGAAACTACAGAAATTGTAGTTTTACTGGTGATTTTCTGAGTTGATTTTTGTTCTTGTGCAGTATGTTTGTGCTGTTGAAAGGAGCCACCAAGGAGCAGGCCTTCAAGATTGGTCAGGAGATTGCTGATGCTGTGACTGCCACAAATCCAAAGCCTGTGAAATTGAAATTTGAGAAGGTAAGATGTCTGTTTTATATGAGAGTGAAAGTAAAGTTTTTGCCAAATAGGTGATTTAATCTTAATCATAATTTCTAAGAAATTAAAGTATTGCAGGCCAGGTAATGCCAATAAATTTCAAGTCTCTTTTCAAACTCCAGTTATCTTGAAGGGTCTGTTCTGGTTATTTAAAGAACCTGCCTGAGGAGCAGAGAGAAAAATCGGAAGTGGAAGATTCAAGATTTTGAGTGGAGGTTGTACTTTCAAAGTTCTCAAGCATGCATCACAAGATACTGCTTTGTTGTGACCATTAATAATTTAACTGTTTGCCCTGAGTTAAAGAGATCCTATTCTTGCAAAGGTATTTGGCAAACATGGACATGGGCTATTCATACATTTGCATGTCTGGCTAGGTTAGCATTTGTTGTCCATCACAAATTCATTTGGAGAAACTGGAGAAAGAGATGAGTTGCCTCTTTGCATGTGTTATAAGTCCAGTGCTGTTAGGGAGGGACTTCTAGGATGTTGACCTAGTGACAATGAAGGAGCAGTGATATAGTTGTAGATCTGGATGATGTGTGTCTTAGAGGGAAACTTGCTGATTGTGGTGTTCCCATCTGTCTGCTGCCATTATCATTCTAACTGATAGAGGATGCGTATTTGGAAATTGCTATTGAAGAAGCCTCGGTAATTTGTTGCAGTGCACCTTTTAGATCATGCACACTGCTGCATCACGATTGGGGTGTTTTTGTCCTGGATGGTGTTGAGCTTCTTTTGTAGTTGGAGCAACACTTGTACAGTTAACGGGAAAGTATTCCATTTCATTCCTGACTTCTGCATTATAGTTGGTGGACTAGGTTTAGAGGGTGGGTCCTTTATAAGTCTCTGACCTGATCTTGTAACCACAGTATTTATATGCCTGGTCCAGTTCAGTTTGTGGTCACTGGTAACCCCAGAATGTTGATAGGGGTGTTTTTAAATGGATGGAAATGGAGTTGCAGCGCAATGCTTTCACATCATTCCAATTGATGAAAATTACGCACGACCCTGCATAGAATCCCTACAGTGCAGATAATCCAAAGAATCCGAGAATCCCACCCTATCCCCGTAACCCCTGTATTTCCCATGGCTAATCCTCCTAGTCTGCACATCCTTGGAGACTACGGGGCAATTTAGCACAGCCAAGCCACCTAACCTGCACATCTTTGAACTGTGGGAGGAAACTGGAACACCCAGTGGAAACCCACGCAGACATGGGGAGCGTGTGCCAACAACACAGTTCCAGCGCTGGAGTTGAACCTGGGTCCCTGGTGCTGAGAGGCAGCAGTCCTAAGTACTGCCAACATGCTGCCCTATCCTCAACATTTCAGAAAAAAATTTGAAACAGTTTGAAGAATCCTAAATTTATCACATTTTGATTTGTTTGGGATATGCTATTCCCGAAGCAGAGGCCTCAGTTTTTTCCTAACTTGTCCATAAGATGTGGGAGTCGCTCACTAGGCCAGCATTTATTGCCCATTCATATAGACTTACGGCAGTTAAGAGTCAACCCCACCGCCCTGGGTCTGGAGGCCAGTTTTGCTTCCCTAAAATAAATTAATGAACCAAATGGTATTTTATGGGAATTAACAATTAAGAAGGTCGCCATTTTAATTGTTTTTTTTTAATTGAATTCCAATTTCATGATCTGCCATGATGGGATTCAAACACGCGTCCCCAAATCATTTTTGGGGTTCTAGATTACTAATCTATTGACACTGGGGAGACAGTGATATAGTGGTAATCTTGTTGGTTTGTTTGCTTTCTTATAGGTTTACTTACCGTGTGTTTTGCAATCAAAGAAGAGATATGTTGGTTATATGTATGAGAGTTTAGATCAGAAAGATCCAGTTTTTGATGCCAAGGGTATTGAAACTGTGCGGCGAGACTCCTGCCCTGCTGTCTCCAAGGTATGTTATATTTATTTATTTTTAATGCAGTTATTTCCTGTTTTCACCACCGCACAGATGTCCCCACATCAATTGCACAAATGAAAGAAAATTATTTCAAATGTTCAAGCAATATATTTTGACTCCGTTTTCCAAAGCTGGATATTTGATATCAAATTACTCTTGGAATTGTCTTAATGTAGTCTTATTAGAATATGATATTAAGGTTTCATATTTCACACCGCAATACAAGAGGGTTTATAACTTGCAAATCCAATTTGATGACTCCCAAATACAGCATAGCAGACGCTATCTGATGCCTTGATGCTGTATATATTTGTTTGTTCAGGTTATTGTCCAGAAATAGAACAAAACAAGCATGATGCCTATATCCGACAGGAGAATTTTGTCAGCAAATCTGTACATTGTCTGCTCCCAAACAACAGGAAATGTTATTAACAGTTAACTTGTTGTGGGATTCAAAAAGGTGCAATGCATTTGGCGTGTTCCCCATCCTGCAGGGAACCGGTTCCGCAAAAGTGAGTGAGCCACACTGGTAAAGTTAAATTGCTGAACCTAGATTATCAAGTCTTGGACTTGATTGTAGGTGGTTATGAGATATAAAACGGCAATTAAGAGTAGAAGGTATGTCTCCCTGTGTTCAAGGAAAGTGTCTGGTACCTAACTTCAGGCACAGTAGATAAGGGGTCAACTATGAGAAGGGAGACAGTCCACGCAGGACTGAAGGTGTTGTACTTAAATAAGAGCAGAGTACGAAACAAGGTAAATGAGCTTGTAGCATGAATTGTACACCCAGTTTCAATGTTGTGGGTGTCTCAGGTGTGCCTGCAAGATGATCAGGGTGGGAACAAAATATCCAAGGATACACATCCTATTGAGAGGACAAGCAGAAGGGGCAGGGTTCCCTTGTCAGCAAGAAATTAAATGAAACTAAATTGATAGTAAGAAATGATAACGGAGTTGGAAGGCATGAAATCTGTGTGGGTAGAGTGAGGAACTGCAAAGGGAAAAAACACCCTGATAGTTGTGTACAGGCCTCTTGGCAGTAGTCAGGATGTGGGGAAGAAAATAAATCAGGAGATAAAAATGGCACGAATGAAAGGCACTATTACAACGATCAAGGGGGACTTCAGCATGCAGGTGGATTGGCAGAGTCAGGTTGTTAACAGATCCCAAGAAAAGGGATTTGTGTGATGTCTACAGGATGTTTTTTATGGAGAGGCTTGTGATAGCAACCACTAGTGAACAGGCATTTCTGGATTTAGTGATGTGTAATGAGACAGACCTGATTAGGGAACAGAAGGTGAAAGAACCTCTTGGGGGGTATTGACCATAATATGACAGAATTCACCCTGCGTTTGAGAGGGAGAAGATTGAATCAAATGTAACAGAACTGAAGAAGTGTTCTGAAGAAAGGGCATTGGACCTGAAACATAACTCTGATTCCCCTCCATAGATGCTGCCAGACCTGCTGAGTTTTTCCAGCAATTTCTGTTTTTGTTTCTGGAGAAGTAGTAATTAACTTACTAGAATCGGGAAGAGTCCCAGAGGGCTGGAAAATGGCTAATGTAACACCTTTATAAAGAAGGGAGCAAGGTATAAGACAGTAAACTATAGGCTGGTTAGCCTGACCTTGGTCATTGGCAAGATTTGAGTCCATTCTGAAGGATGAGATTGCTGAGTACTTGGATTGCATGATAAAATAGGGCTGAGTCAGCACTGCTTCATCAAGAGGATGTCATCCCTGACAAATCTGTTAGAATTCTTTGAGGAAGTAACAAGCAAGTTAGACAAAGGAGTGCCAGAGGATGTGATCTATTTGAATTTCCAGAAGGTCTTTGACAAGGTGCTACACAGGATGCTGTTAAATAAGAATCCATGGTGTTATAGGCAGGGTACTGGCATAGATAGTGAATTGGCTGGCTGGCACAGAGTAGTTATAAAGGGGCATTTTTCAGGATGTCAGCAGGGAGTACCGCAGGGGTCTGTGGGACCACAACTATTTACGTTTTACATTACTGGATTAAGTTACTAAGTTTGCAAATTCCATAAAGACACGTGGAGTTGAGAAAGCAGGGAGGCTGCAGAAGGACTTGGGCAAACTAGGAAAGTGGACAAAGAATTAACAGATGGAATACAATGTTGGCAAATGTGAGGTTAAGCACTTTGGTAGGAAGAATAAAGGTGTAGACTATTTTCAAATGGAAAGGGCTTGTGAAATCTGAAGTACAAAGGGACTTCGGAGTCCTAGTTCAAGATTCTCTTAAGGGTAACAAGCAGGTTCAGTTAGGTGTGCAAATGCAGTATTTGGCATTCATTTTTAGGGTTGGAATACAAGAGCACAGATGCACTGTTAAGGGTCTACAAGGCTCATGGACCACATTTGGAATATTGTTAGCAGTTTTGGACTCCATATATAAGAAAAGATGTGCTGGCGTTGGAGGGTGTCCAGAGGAGGTTTACAGAAACGATGGCTGGGATGAAGGGCCTGTCGTTTGAGGAAACGTTGAGGACACTGGGTCTGCTCCTGGAGTTTAGAAGGTGCGGCAATCTAATTGAAACTTACTGAGAGGCCTGGATAGAGTGGACGTGGAGAAGATTTTTGCACTGATAAGAGAGACTAGGACCCAAGCGCACAACCTCATAAAAAAGGATGACCTTTCTTCAACCAGAGAGTAGTTAATCTGTGGAACTCGGTGCCACAGAGGGCTGTGGAGGCCAAGTCATTAAGTGTATTTAAGACAGAGGTTTGTCATTAGTAAGCAGTTCAGGGGTTATTGGGAGAAGGTAGGAGAACGGTGTTGAGAAATGCATCAGCCATGATCGAATGGCGAAGCAGATTCGATGGGCTGATTGAGCTAATTCTGCTCTTATTCTTATGGTCTTATGAATACCTATTACTCCATATCCTCTTAATTTTGCAACAAATAATCAATGGATTTAAACAGCAAAGGTGCACTGCTTTGAAGCAGTTGTTGCTGCATAGGTCTCAGCTGATCTGGTTCTCTGCAGATGTAATAGATAAGACTTTTTTTACAGAGACATGAATATAGAGGAATGAGAACTGTACACAAATAATGGTCATTTGCTTTATGAGACTGGTATATTCTAAATTGACTCAGAGTTGTTATCAGTTCATTGACTTGGGATGTTATTTTTAATGAGGTTTTGGCGATAAAGAAACAGTTGTCATTAATTTTGAACAAATAGAGCACTTTATCAGCTTTGTGTATCACAGGAGTGTCTGCTGCTTTTTCATGTGTGAACTTTTCCACAGATTCTAGAACGCTCAATAAAGCTGTTGTTTGAAACAAGAGATATCAGTCAAATCAAGAGGTATGTCCAGAAGCAATGCGCAAAGGTACTGGACGGGAAAGCCAGCTTGCAGGACCTGACTTTTGCCAAAGAGTACCGGGGGAGTGACTCATATCATCCAGGGGCATGTGTCCCAGCCCTTGAGCTAACCAGGTGAGTTGTACTGCTGGTAAAGTCCTGGAATATCCACTGGATTTAGAAGGGATTGTTTTGTTTGTTCTTTTAAAATGGCTTGTCTAATAACTGTTGAATGCATTACTTAGACTGGCAGAAATCTATGAAGTCTGCAAAGCTAGTTCCCAGTCAGAACAAAGCTACTACAGAGGTAACCAAAGCACTGGAAGCCTTAAATTATATCTCACAGCTGTCTCTCATTCTCTGGAGGACTTGCAAATCTTACTTTAATAAAAAATTTAATTAAAAGTTTAATTAGACCAGTAATAAAATAAGAAGGATATTTAAGTACCAGCTCGGGACAAATAAAACTTATTAGCGTCATGGAATGGAGATTGAAATTTTGAAACATTAAATTAACATTTCTAGGAGTGTCCCCCAGGAAAATGCTAACTTGTGGTCCAGTTTCTGTTGTGGATTAAGCATCTCCTTTAGAACTAAAAAGGACAAATCCCTGTGGCAATGTGTTAGGCAAGTCAAATAGTAGAAGAAGATGGATTGAATATTAGCAATTGTAATAGAAAAATAGCCAAATATTTAGGATTACAGGACTCGATCCAGATAGTTGGACTGTCATTTAAAGAGGATGATGACAATGTCCAGGTGATTGCAGGGCTCTTAATCTACCAATAGCATAACATAATGGACCTGTACAAGGGTTATATTAGAATAATAACATTTAGAATAATAACAGATGTTGTATAGGTATAGAAGAGGAATATTCTGCCAAACAACATTATTTTCTTTGGGAATGCTGCAGGTAAAATAAGCTACAATCAGGTTAACTTTGAATGATGTTGCCTGTCCAGAATCCCAACCTTCTCATCATCCCAGTGATCCAGATGATCCAGCCAATCTGTCCCACACAGTTATGATGTCTAACACACAAAGCACTTTCCACCCACCCCAAGACATGTAATCTCCCAGAACAGTTGAAAATCAAATATCTAATCCAGACTATCCTGTCAGCCCTAATGTTGCATAATTACATAAAACAAAAAAAAAACCAAAAGATGCTGGAAATCAGAAACAAAAAAACAAAAATTGTTGGAAAAACTCAGCAGGTATGGCAGCATCTGTGGAGAGAAATCAGAGTTAATGTTTTGGGACAAGTGACCCTTTTTCAGAACTTCAGTTCGCTTGTGCTCTGCCAGTGACACCAATGTGCAACATCACCACCACAGCCAGTATTGATTGTACGTCCCTAATTGCTGTTAAGGTGGCAATGAGCTGCCTTCTTGAATCATAGCAGTTGATGTGGAATAGATACATCCAGAGAGAGTTAGGAAGGGACTTCCAGGATTTTGGCCCATCAACAGTGAAGTGACAGTGGTATGTTTCCAAGTCAAGGTGGTTTGTGGTTTAGAGGGGAACTTGCAGGTGGTGTTGCTTCCACGCATCTGCTTCCTTTGTCTTTCAAGTTGTTCGATGTGACATAATTAGAAAATGCCATCAGTGGAGACGTGAGTTGCTGTGATGCATTTTTTTTTTTAAGTAGTGCACGCTACTTCAACTGTGCAGCATTGGTGGAAGGAGTGAATGTTTATGGAGGTAGGTGGAGTGCCAATCAAGCAAGCTGCTTTTTCGATGGTGATGATGAACATCTTGAGCGTTTTGGGAGCTACACTTGTCCAAATAATTGGAGAATATTCAATCTTACTCCTGACTTCTGCCAAATGGTGGGCACACTTTGGGGAGTCAGAGAGTGAGTTACTGCGGAATTTCTAGCCTCTTATTTGCACAGTATTTATGTGACTAGTCCAGTTCTGTTTCTTGTCCATGATGATTCCTAGCATGTTGGGGTTTAAACAGTAGCAACACCATTGAACATCAATGTGCAATGCTTAGGCGCCCTCTTGGAGACTGTCATTGCCCAACATTTATGTGGCATGTATATTATTCATTACTTCAGCCCAAGCCTGAATGTTGTCCAGAATTTGTTACTTATGGACGCTAATGCTTTAGTATCTGAGAAGTTACAAATGGTGCTGACTGTTAAACAGTCATCAGTGATCATCGCCACTGCTGAACTAATTATGGTGGAAAGCACGTGATGAAGCAGCTGTAGATGTTTGGGCCCAGGACACAACCCTGAGAAACTCTTACAGAGATGATCCAAAATTGAGCTGATTGGCGTCCAATCTTTTTGAGGTGTGTTCTCCCTGATTTGCTGATGCCACACACAGTTAAATACTGCCTTGACATCAAATGCTCTTGCCTCACCATTTGAATGTTGGCTTTTTCGACAGATGCTAGATGCCGGTGTGTCGCAAAACTGGGACAGTTTGGCAAGTGATGTAACTAGTTCTTTAGTACAAGCTAATACAAGTGCTCAGCTTTGTCTGGGCATGTATTCTTTGTAGTATGCAGTGTCTTCAGCCATTTGATATCATGTGGAATAAAACGAATTGCCTGCAGACCGATGCCTATAATATTGGGGACCTTGCTACGATTCATGATTGGATGTAGGAAGATTGCTGTGTTTGGAGCTGATTTGTTGGTTGGAATCATTTAGCTGTTTCCATTGCATATGAACATATGAAATAGCTGAAGTAGACCATTAGGCCCCTCAAACATTCTGCCCCATTCAATAAGATCATTACAAGCCAAGTGGATACAAAATTGGCTTGAAGGTAGGAGACAGAGGGTGGTGATAGAGGGTTGTTTTGTGGAATGTAGGCCTGTGACCAATGGTGTGGTGCAAGGATTGGTGCTGGATCCACAGTTTTTCATCATATATATAAATGATTTTGATTAGCAACCAAAATTTAGATTAGTGGGACTAGATCAGATCCGTTCAGGTCAGCTTGGATGAGTTGGACCAAAGGGTCTGTTTCCATGCTATATGACTCTGACTGTACTGGTCTGTTTTCCACATGAATTCCATCTTCCCATCTACCAAACTTAGATTTGGTTGCTAAGTTTGCAGGTGAAACCAAAATTCATGGTGTAGTGGACAGTGAAGAAGGGTATCTGAGTACAACAGGGCCTTGATCAGATGGGCCAGTGGGTTGAGGAGTGGCAGACTTTAATTTAGATAAGTGTGAGGTGTTGCATTTTGGCAATGCAAACCAGTGCAGGACTTCTACCATTAATGGTAGAGCCCTGGCCAGTGTTACTGAATAGAGGCCTAGGGGTGCAGGTGTATCGTTCCTTTAAAAGTGGAGTTGCAGGTAGATCAGATGGTGAAAAAGGTATTTGGCATGATTGCCTTCATTAGTCAGTGCATTGAGTATAGGAGGTGGGATGTCTTGTTATGGCTGTACAAGACAGAGGCCACTTTTAGAATATTGCATTCAACTCTAGTCACTCTGCTATAGGAAAAATGTTGTCAAACGTGAAAGGGTTCCAAAGAGATTTACAAGGGTGTTGCCAGGTTTGGAGGATTTGAGCCTACAAGGCGAGGCTGAATAGGCTGAGACTTTTATCCTTGGAGTATCAGATGCTGAGGGACGAGCTTAGAGAGGCTTATAAAATCATGAGGGACATGGATAGAATGAATAGCCAAGGTCTTTTCCCTAGTTAATGGAGTCCAGAACTAGAGGGCAGAGGTTTAAGGCGAGAGGGGAAAGAAGTAAAAGGGACCTAAGGGACAACTTTTCCACGCAGTGGGTGCAGCTTGTATGGAACGAGCTGCCAGAGGAAATGGAGGAGGCTGGCAATCTGGATGGTTACATGAATAGGAAGGGTTTAGGGGGATATGGATCAAATACTGGCAAGTGGGATTACATCAGTTCAGGTCAGTTTGGATGAGTTGAACCAACGGGTCTGTTTTCGTGCTATATGACTTTGACTCTACTGGTCTGTTTTCCACATGAATTCCATATTCCCATCTACTGCCAATAACCTGTGATTCCTTTGCCTAGCAAGAATCTGTCTCCTTTTATTTTTTAAATATTCAGTGACCCTGCTTTCCGCTGCCTTCTCAGGGAGAGAGTTCTAAAGTCACAGAACCCTCTAAGAAAACAGTTCTCCTCGTCTCTGTTCTAGAAGGGTCACTCCCAATTTTAAAATCATACCCCCTAGTTCTGGGATAATCTGTAACAGTCAGCATTCTATTCATGTCTACCCTGTTAAGACTATTCAGAATCTTAAGTTCTTTAATCAGGTCACTCTGCTCAAAATTCTAATAGAAACAAGCCCAGATTGTCCGACCTATCCATGTTTTTTTTTTCAATTTGTTAGCTGACATTGAGTTATTCTCATACAGATATCTTTAACAGTTGATTTAAGTTTGTTTTCTAATTACTGACGTTTATTTAATGAGTCGTCAGGGTTATCTGTACTTACTCCTTTGGAAAAGGGGAGGTTTGTCTGTTTCAGTCTGTCACTCCTTGACTCCCTGAGAGTGATAGATTGTACTCGGTATTTCTGCTAATTTTGATCAGGCATTAGTGGTATGTTGCAAGCAAAGAAGAAATAAAACTAACGCAAAAGTGAATGCTGTGAGGGAATATAAGACAAACATGAGATTTGCTTTCAATAAAAATGTGACAGTGGGAAGACCGCAATGTAGAACAAAAATTACATGGTGTAGATATGGTAAACTTTTTTCTTTTGAAGTAATACTCATCAGTGATCATTAATTATACATGGATGAAAGGCACATTTTTCCCTGTATTATTTCTTAGAGCTGAGAATTTGAAAGACCTTTCCAAGCAAAGAAATGAAGGCACGGATGTGAGTTCGTTCATAAGACCATAACTGTGAAAGAAAGTCATTTAACCCACCAAGCCCAGTTCAGAGAAATCATGGATGATCTGATGGTCCTCGGCTTCACTGTCCATTTTTTTAAACCCTCATAATCCTTGATTCCCTTACTAATTAAAAATCTATCTCAGCCTTGAGCATATTTAACAAACCCATCTCCATAGCCCACTGCAGTAAAGTATTCCACAGGTTCACAACCCTCTGAGAGAAAAAATTCCTTATTTCTGTCTTAAATGTTTGATTCCTTACTCTGAAGTTATGCCCTCTGGTCCTAGACTCTCCCACAAGGGGAAAAGTCCACTCCACATTGAGCCCCTAAGAATATTGAATGTTTCGATAAGGTCACACCTCATTCTTCTAAATGCCAGTGAGTGCAGGCCAAATCTTTCATTAAAGAAAATCCCTCCATACGCATGATCAGTCTATGAACCTTCTCTAGACTGCCTCCCATGTCAGTATGCCTTTCCTTAGGAAAGGCACCCAAACTATTCACAGTATTCTACGTATGGTCTGGCTGGTGCCCCGTATAGTTTTAGCAACACTTCCTTATTTTCATATTTTCATTCCCTTTGACATAAAGGCCAGAATTGAATATGCTTTACCTATTGCCTGCTGAACATGTTTGCTAACTTTTTTGTGATTCGTGCATGAGGACTCTGAAATCCTTCAGTGCTGCAGCTTTCTGCAGTCTTTCCCCATTTAAAAATTATTCAGCTCCACAATTCTTCCCTCCAAATTGGATAGCATCATTTTTTTCCACATTATATTGCATCTGCCATCTTTCTCTAAGGTTGACTTGATTTGTCTTCTCTTTTCCTCCCCCAACACTCTTTTTGCCAGAATGCTATTAATGTCCTCTACCATGAAGACTGATGCAAATTGTTTATTCAAATCCTGTGCGGTTTCCTGATTTGCTATAATTATTTACCCAGCCAACTTTTCTAAAGAGCCTATGTTCACTTTGGCACTTTTTACGTACTTAAAGAAGCAGTTCCTGTCCTTTATATGCTATTTGCTAGTTTATCTTCAAAGATTATTTTCTCCTTTTTATTGGTCAACTTTTGATGGCTTTTAAAACTTTCCTAATCCTCTGTCTTACCACTAATCTTTGCTATGCTGTATTTTCTCCCTCCTTTTCAATTTGCTACAATCCTTAATTACGTCAATAAACCATGGTTGGTTTATCCCTTCCTAGAATCCTTGTCAAGTACAGTTCCAGTGAGTACAATGATGGGGAAGCTGATGTATTAAAGGAATGGGCTTTTTGGTGTAGAACAACTTCTCACTTCAATTTGAGGTGCACATTTTGAGAGTCTACTTCATGGAAAGCTGTCGTTGCTGTTAAAAGTATGCAAGGTTCTTGGTGCTTTAATGAAGAAAATGCATCCTGTTTAATGAGGCTAGTGGGGAGCAGGCAGTCGACAACACTCTAAATTGGAAGTGATATTGCCTCCTCTGGGGGAGCTGGGACACTAAAGGCAGACATATAAATGAAGCAGAAATCTGGCACCCAGAATAATGCACCTGCAGCTTAACAGCTTTCTTTGACATTTGGAAATGTGCAGTAACCAAAATGAAAACAGGAAACACAAAATTTCAACACAGTATTGATAATATAATTGCATCACATTCATAGCAATATGTGTAAAATGCTATGTTTTGACTGCTGAAGAATACACGTAATGATATCTCCACTTACCTGTCAAAATGGTGTTGAAAGATCAGAACATATTAACTCTAGTCATAAATAATAAAACAAAAAGTAATCGAGAAGACTGTTCCATGAGCTGAAGTAAATTTAGACTGAAATAATGTCTGAGATGAGAGATCTCATTCTGCAGTACAAGTATGTATTGCCTTCTCTAGGAGAAGCAGCGCTGAAACTTAGAATCAAGTCACTTGGAGTGTGGCCAGTGGGGAAATGTTGATCTTTTACACTCAGTACAATTGCAGCTTTTTAAAACTGTTCTGTTGTGCATTCAAGATACACACACTCTCTGGTTCACATCTCTTTTATACTAACTCGCTGAAGAGCAATCCCAAAACGGATGTCCTAAAGTAGTTTAAGTTGTCCTTTGTGTCACTGTTGTATCTTCCAATTGGAAAATGAAGACCCAGGTCAAGAGAAGCATTTTCAAAGTTTTCTTTTGTAGCAGTTCCTGCATTATTTAAATCATCTTTTGGTGTTTCTGGAGTTTGATTGTGGTCTGTGGCATGTATTAATTGGGCCAGGCAGGAGGTGGTTTAGTTGACAGGCAAGCACGATCCACAAATCTGAATGGTTTCACCACTCCTGAACTCATTGTTTCTTCCAGCTTTCAATTCCTGCATGCACCCTCTGGGTTTCCAGTGCTATCTGTTCCTCATGCTGCTGTGACATTTCCTTTTGGCCTTGTTCCATAGCTCCCTTGCACCTGTGTTTTCCCACATCCCTTCCTGTGCTCCAGGCCATACTGCCTGTGACCCAGGTACTGCAGTGCTTCCAGAAACTAATGGTAGGGCCTTGGGTATTTTTGTAGAACAGAGGGACTAAGGATACAGGCACATAATTCTTTGTAGTTTGCATCATATATAGACAGTGTGGTTAAAAAGGCATTTGGTGTGAGGAGAGAGATTTTAAAAAGACATGAGGCAAATTTTTTACGCAGAGGGTACTTCACATGTGGAATGAACTTCCTGAGGAAGTGATGGATGTGGGCACAGTTACAACATTTAAAAGACATTTGGATAGGTGGATGAATAGGAAAGGTTTAGAGGGATATGGGTCGGGAGCAGGCAGGTGAGACTAATTTAGTTTGGGAGTATGTTCGGCATGGACTGGTTGGACCGAAGGGTCTGTCTCCATACTGTTATGACTCAATCAAAGACGCTCACCACCATCATTTTTCCAGGGGAGTTAGAAACGAGCAGGAAGTGCTGGCCCAGTCAGTACTGCCTGCATCCCTTAAAGGCACACAAAAAATCCTGATGTATTCCGTAAGCAAATATTCGGGACAGAATTATAGGTCACCTTAATTAAGGAAACCAGCACTGATTTTTCTTGGTGAAAACCATGTTCGACTCACTTTGTTGAATATTTTTGGAATAGAAGATTGATGGGGACAAAGCTGTTAATGTGGTGTGAGTGGACTTCAAAAATGATTTTGAGACAGTGCCACACAGAGACTTGTGAGCAAGTAATAAATAGCTCATGCTCCTAGGGAAGGTGATGCCAGTGTTTTTGGTCGGGGGGTGGGGATTCGTCAATGTTGAGACCCTTTCTCTTGAAATATCTAGGTCTGGACTTTGCGCATGGCACAGTTTCAAAATTTGCAGGTGACACTAAACCTGTGGTTTGTGAGGAGGATAGTTTAGAATTTCAAGAGAACTGACATTCATAGAATGAGCTGCTGCGTATAGATGAAGTTCACTCCTTGGAAATGTTTTTTTTTGTTTGGAAAGACAAGAAAGAGGCAATACAAGATAAAGAACAGAAGTCTTAAAGGGATGCAGGAGTAGAGGCACCTGGGTGTTTCAGTTATTGAAACGGAGTGTGATTAGTACAGCCCATAGTAACCGAGGTTTTATTCATAGGGCCGGAGAGTACAAAAGCAAGGAGGCTGTGTCAGGTTTCAGCTAGAGCGGTGTGTCCAGGCCTGAGCACCACACTTTGGGAAAGATGTGCAGGCATTGGAAGTTGCAGATAAGATTCATGAGAATGGTTTCAGAGCTGAGGACTTGTTGTAAGGACATGAGAATTAGGAGCAGGCACAGGCAATTCAGCCCCTCGAGCTTGCTGCAACATTTAATACGATCATGGCTGATCTCATCTCGGCCTCAACTCCTCTTTCCCACTGCTCTCTGTAACCCTTCATTATCCGTTACTAATTAAAAATCTGTTCATCTCCTTAAACTTACTTAATGTTGCAGCATCCACTGTACTCCAGGGTGGTGAATTCAACAGATTCATGACCCTTTGAGAGCAAACATTTCTCTTCATATGTGCTTTAAATATGCTGCTACTTATCCTAAAACTATGACCTGTAGATTGCCGCACAAAAGGAAACATCCTCCCTATGTCTACTTTGTCAGTCCCTTTAAGTATCTTCTATATCTCAATTAGATCTCCCCTCCTTCTTCTAAACTCCAGACAGCATAGGTCTAACTGCTCAGTCTCTCTTTATAAGACAAACCCCTTTGTCTCTTGAATCAATCTAGTGAACCTCCTCTGAACGGCTTCCAATGTAAGTACATCCCTCCTCAAGTAGGGGTCCAAAACTGTACACAGTATTCCAGATGCTGTCTCTTTAATGCATTGTATCGTTGCAACAACTTCCTATTTTTATTCGATGTTCTTTTAGCTGCAAATGCCAAGATTTCATTTGCCTTCCTTTTCATCACCTTCAGTATCTGCATATTTTTTGTGACATATTTACAAGGACCCCCAGTTCTGCACCAAAGCATTCTGAAGTTTCCCTCGATTTAAGTAATAAGTTGCCCAACTATTCTTTGACCAAAATGGAAAATCTCATACTGATCTAAATTATGAAGATCCTTTGAAGAAATTGGGACCTTTTTCTTTGGGGGAGAAAGGGGCTGAGAAGAGATTTTATAGAGGTATTCAAAATCGTGTGTAATCTACCTATTATCATGAGGGACAGAGTAGAAGGGGAGGAACCATTCTGAATGATGACAGGGTCAAGAACAAAGAAGGTATAAATTTAAATTGCAAAAGAGCCATCAGGACATGAAGAACATTTCGATTTTTGGAATGAACTGCCTGTGTGTGTGGTGGAGATAGATTCAGTTGAGGCTTTTAAAGGTAGTTGGATGGTTACCTACAAAGGAAGACTGTGCAGTGTCACTGGAGAGGAATTGCAGGTGAGCAGTGCAGACATTATGAATTTAAAGGCTTGCTCTGTGTTGTAACAATTAAGATTTTGTGATGCCTTTGTACATAGTGCGTGCTACAATTTTGCTTTTGAATACCTGAGAAGGTATCCTCATGTTTAACTTATTTTGAGGATTTTTTAGCACATGGCTAAAGAATGCTTTCACATGAAGTCATCTGGTTAATACAGAATCTGCAGTGTCCACTCCACTTTTCAGCACAAAATAAAACAGCCTTTCGATCCCAGCTATGCACCTAAGTATCTCCTGGCATGTGCATCAGATAGTGGGAATATGTGAGTGAGCTACTGAAATAATGGTTCTTTTTGCCCTGTGCTACTATAGAGGTGCCAGTACTAATTCTGCAATGATTGCTAATGTATATCTTGTTCCTAAACAGGAGGATGCTGTCTTATGATCGGCGCTCTGAACCTAGGGTAGGTGAGAGAGTCCCTTACGTCATTGTGTACGGAGTGCCCGGGGTACCGCTCATTCAGCTCGTTAGACGACCGATTGAGGTGCTGCAGGACCTCAGCTTGAGACTGAATGCTACTTACTACATCTGCAAACAGATACTGCCACCCCTCAACAGGGTCTTTTCTCTGATTGGTATTGATGTTTTCAGCTGGTACCATGAGTTACCTAGGGTAAGAAGCACTGCAATTCCCTGATACATACTTTGGTCTCCTAACATTGTATTAGTTTTTAATTAGTCTGGCCACTAATCTGTTAAGTTCTTTACTATCAGGAATATCAACAGAAATGAAGTTGGAAATGTTAATATAAAACTGCTGCAGGATAGAGGCACAGACTATTTTCTAAATGAGGAAAAGCTTTGGAAATCTAAAGCACAAAGGGACTTTAGAGAATCCTGACCTTGGATTCTTACACTAACATGCGGATACGGGTGGCAATTAGGAAGGCAAATGCAATGTTGGCGTTCATTTCAAAAGGGCTAGAATTACAAAAGGAACTACTGCCGAGGTTGTACAAGGCTCTGGTCAGACCGCATTTGGAATATTGAGAGCAGTTTTGGGTTCTGTATTTAAGGAAGAATGTGCTGGCCTTGGAGGGAACCCAGGGGAGATGCACAAGAATGATACTGGGAACGAAGGACTTGTTGTATGAGCAGCAGTTGAGAACTCGGACTGTATTCGATGGAGTTTAGAAAGCTGAGGGGGGTGGAATCTCATTGAAACTGACAGAATACTGAGAGGCCTGGATAGAGTGGATGTGGAGAAGATCTCCACTAGTAGGAAAGACAAGCACGAGATTACAGCCTTGGAGTGAGGGGACAACCCTTCGAATTGAGATGAGGAAGACTTTCTTCAGCCAGAGGGTGTTGAATCTGTGGAACTCATTGCTACAGAAGGATTTGGAGGCCAAGTCATTGAGTGTATTTAGGACAGAGAGAGGTCCTTGATTAGTAAGGGGATCAAGGGTTACAGGGAGAAGGCAGGAGAATGGGTTGAAAAGCATATCAGCCATGATCAAATGGTGGACCAGATTCGATGGGCTGAACGGCCTAATTGTGCTCCTGTATCTTATGATCTATTTATTTAATGATTAAACTCTTGTAACTAGTAAATATGAATATATTACAGTTAAAACTCTTTTTATCGACCAGAATGAATGGCTGTATGGAGCATCAACAAACCACTTTCAACATGCACAAGTTAGGGGTGTAGTTAGAAATTTAAGATTATACTGAAAAGGGCTTACAATAATTGTCAGACTCTTAATTTAGTGGAGAGCCAAAAGGACAAGAAGGGCTGAGAATAGATTAGTGGCTAACAAAAAAAAATGTCCAAAATATTTAACGAGGAAAATGATATTCAAATGAAGGTTGGGACTGGTTGGGCCCAACATGAGGTCATCTTGTAGAGACAGAGTATGGCTGCTATACTGAATAAATGCTTAGTATCTGATCGCACTAAAACACAAATGTTACCCTTGTCACAGGGAAGGAGGCAGTTGGGAAATTGTATGGGATAAAAATAAAAAGTAGTCGTTGTAGTCCTATGGGACCATAGAGCTGCTGTTTAGTTAGAGAGTGATGACTGGTGGTTTAACCTGAGAGTCACCTGCCTCAGATGAGGGGAGAGATCTAGCCAGCTGAGCTAACCTACGAGACGCGTGAAAGATCAGCACTGTTCAGAAAGAGAAGTCACCCAGTCTGGATAGGGTGCTTACTTGGTTGCCAAGGGAGGCAAAGGTGAAAAGTGCAGAGCCTGGTTGCAGTTTTCCAAACGTCTTTGGATTTTTGAGTGGTGCCACTGGACTGGAGGATTGTTAAATGTTTAAACTCCTTTTCAAAAAGGGCAAGGGATAAAAAAGCCAAATGACAGGCCAGTTCACCTAATGCCAGTGGTAAAGGAGCTTTGAGACTATAAACTGAGACAAAAATTGACACTTGGAGAAATATGATCAATAACCACTGCTGCCCCAAAAAAGGCTTGCAGGTTGTGGGTGTTCCCCTTCATCTGCTGCACTTATCATTCTAGATGTGGTTGTGGGTTTGGAACCCGTTGTCTTAGGAGCTTTAATGAATTTCTGCATTGCGTCATGTAGATGGTACTGAACATCACTAGTGGATGGAATAAATGTTTGTGGATGTGCTAATCAAGCGGGCTGCTTTGTCCTAAATGGTGTCAAGCTTATTGAGTGTTGTTGGAGCTGCACGCATCCAGGCAAGTGGGGAGTGTTCCATCACACTCCTGACTTGTGCCTTGTAGATGGTGGACAGACTCTGGGGAGTCAGGAGGCGAGTTACCACTGCAGGATTCCTAGCCATGTGCAGAGACCAAAAGTAGACCATGTTTTATTGATTGTTCTGTGAATGCATTCCAACACCTGAGTAATTAGCGACTCATTGTGCTGCTTGTATACCTTTTAAGTTGTATACACACAAAGTGTAATTCATTCCATGATTCCTTGTGCGAACAACTAGAACTAGGATGACTTTCACAACGAGAGGTTGACCAATTAAGACAGACTAAGAGAATTTTTTTCTTACAGAGACTTGAGTCTTTGGAACTGTCTTGCTCAAAAGGTGGTGAAACTGGAGTTCCTGGAATTTCAAAACGGTAGATAAGTCCTTGATGAGCAAAGGGCACAAGATTATTTGGGATCGATTAGGAATGTAGAGTAATTGGAGCAGCCATGATTTTCCTGAATGTCTGAAACAGGCTGAAGAGGCAGAGTAGCCTATTCATGCTCCTTCATATGTAGGACAGATTTGTGAAATTTTGTCCACACTCTCTCGGATGTTTTTGTCAGGACAGATTAATCTGCTGTCTGCGTTACATTAACAGCCCCGCGACAAGACAGCTTTCCCAAAGTCTGTCCTTGTTAAAATATATTCTAATTCATGACTTGACATCAGTGTTGCAATGTATAGCAGAGTAACCAACATTACAGGCACCTTTTTGATCGCTCTCCCACAAGCAGCTGTAGAAATTGTGAACTCACTGACATCTGGTATTGTCTGCCTGCCATCTCTTCATTGTATCTGACTGCTTTAAAGGAAACACGCTACAAGATAATTCTCCAAAAATGAAAATAATACTTTTCAATGTTCTTAAGCTCAGTGTTTAATATTTCTTTAGGTCCAAAAGGCGTTTTCAACAGCTCGCAATGAACAGGATGGTCGTAAAGGAACGATCTCCCAGTATTTCACCACCCTGCACTGTCCAGTCTGTGATGAGCTGACTCAGCTGGGCATCTGTAGCAAGTGCCGAAGCAACCCTCAGCAAGTAGCTGTGATCCTTCATCAGGAGATTCAAGAATGGGAGTGGAAACAATCTCAGCTGCTGAAGGTACTTGTGCTAAACCTTCTAAACTGCAAGTTACACTGTTTCTCTGACTAAAAGCCAAAGGATGTCACAATAAATATAGTGGACCAAATTGACTTCATTCAAAATGCTATGAATAAAGGTCAGTTGGAATTTTATCAGAAAGTAAACCAAATGTTTGGAGGAAGATTCACAGAAGGATGGGGGTGGAGTTTGCAGAAAGAGGTTAAGGAAAGCAGGCAAGAACGGAAATGGAGATATTGGGACAGACTGATATAAGTTTAGTTGAGAGTTGAGTCTGAAGGAGATTGAGGGAAATGACATTGTATGACTGCATTGCTCTAGAGAGCAGGCAAGGGATGTGATGGGCTGAATGACCATCTTCTGTGGCCATGCCATATTAAGTAAATGAATGAATTGTCTTCTGAATACCAGGGAGTTGGGTCTTGTGTGTGGGGGTTGATGCACAGTTGGCCAAGCTGGGGGACTTTGGGTGGGATTGTATGAGAATAAGGAATAAATTATCATCTCTGATTCTTTGCAGCAGTTACCCTTCCCGATCAATTCTCTGGACCAAGATCTGACTTTAGAGACTTATAATTCAAATATCTGGAATTTATTTGTTACCTCCTGGTGTTCTGCAACAGAATAAGTGATCATTGTTCTTGTTTGAGAGTTTTCTGAGTATTAGCTGTTGATTTTTGCGGCGACAAGTTCACTGGAGCTTAGGAGGTTGAGGGGTGACCTTATAGAGGCTTAAAACCATGAGGGGCGTAGATAAGGTGAATATCAAGGGTCTTTTCCCTAGGGTGGGGGCATTCAAAAGTCGGGCATATTTTGAAGGTGAGAGGAGAAAGATTTAAAAAGGACATGAGAGGCAACAGTGGTTTGTATGTGGAATGAACTGCTAGAGAAGGTGATGGATAGATACAGTTACAACATTTCAAAAACATTTGGATAAGTATGAATAGGAAAGGTTTGGAGGAATGTGGGCCAAATGCAGGTAAGTGGGACTAGTTTGGTTTGAGAATATGGTCAGTATGGACTGGTTGGGCCGAAGGCAGCAGTGCAAACCACTGAGCCACCGTTATGCCCCAATGCACCTGTTGTGCAGAAAATAGAGGGCCTCACCTGTATGAGTAATACTTGCGAGCTTGGCCAATTGTGCATCAACCCCCACGCACAAGACCCAACTCCCTGGTATTCAGGAGACAATTCATTCATTTACTTAACATGGCATGGCCACAGAAGATGATCATTCAGCCCATCACATCCCTTGCCTGCTCTCTAGAGCAATGCAGTCATACAATGCCATTTTGCGGTTGGTTTTCTGAAAATACCTAGTGCCTAACGGACTGCAGTTGTTGGAAAGTATTCACCTTTTAAATTGCTAATTACCCAAATCTTTTGTTTTTAGATTTGCAGGAATTGCACAGGCTGTGTGGATAGACAAGTTCAGTGTGTCTCATTGGACTGCCCGGTCCTGTATAAGCTGTTCAGCATCAACAGTGACCTTACAAAGGCCCCATACCTTCGACAATTGTTGGATCAATTTTAACAACTCTAATACACTCAAAGCATTGGCTGGTGCTCACTTCAGTTTTTGCTCATCTGCATTTTTGTGTGCCATGGTGAGCTTCTCATGATGGCAAAAGCTGAGCTTTTATAGCCAACGAGATTGAAATGTTTGCATATCTCCTTTTTGAGTGTGAATATCATGATATTTGTTGCAGTGCAAAAAAAAAGTGTATTAGTTAACTGTTTCACTTGTTGGAAAATCATTTTTAAAATACATTTGTGAACCTGTGTCATTTCCATAGTGATGGATGATTGAACAGCCCTGTAAATAAGTGTACAGTCCTATTTCGTATGCAATTATGGTAAATGGAGTTCTGATCTATGGGCACTGAAATGTGGGTAATTTACAACTATGGTGCAAATTTCAAGCTGCATATGTTTACAGATGATTTTCTACAATATATTCAAGTTTTATGTGTTGTATGTTTTAACAACTTTTCTCAATTATATATATTTTTTATTTACCTTTTCTGATGGTTGCTTTCTTTAGTGTGCATTATAGTGAACTTGCAGTCCAAAATGTAACAGTTTGTTAAAAGGACTGTCCTGTTATGTTTCTGGGTGCTTTGCTCTGAAAACAATCATGGCTAGAAAACATTTTGGAAACAGTGCTGTGTGGGGTTGTTGCAATATCTTGATTATTTATTGGGATTATATATGGCACTTCATATCCTTTTTAAAAGTTTATATTATTTTCAAAGAAAAGCTTAACAGTTTCTCATTATGTCAAGTCTGATTTGCCAAAATTTGTACAAATGAGGCTTGCTTTTTTGAATGGTTGTAAAGTTGAATGGAAATATAAAGGAATTATATGGTCCTGTTTATTTGCTAACTTCTGTTTTGTTGGACTCTACAATCATCCAGAACTTGGAATTTTACTTTAAAAGTATTTTTTTGATATTGTCACTAAATTAGAATAAATCAGATTATTAAAAGTTTACCTTGTTTAAAATACTAGATGGTCTGTTTTGGAAAATTAGTCTGTGAACGTGAGGCTTTACAAAGTACATAGGAGCTTGTGCACTAGAATCCTTCAAGTTGAACTTGGAAATTGAAGCATTCCCATGCGTCTGTTCCCTTTCGGCTAGTTGTGGGTATGAGACGCTGCTGAAAAAGCTGGAACAAATTGCCAGAGGATACAGTGTGGATAAGACCCTGCAGCTAACTGCTGTCACTTTGTCATGAGATGTGAGCGTTATAATAGGCATTTATTACTCATCCTTAATTGCCCTGAACAAGGTGGTGGTGTGTTGCCACCTTGAAAAGCTTCAGTCCTTGGGGTGAATTGACACCCACTACACTTTTGGGAAGGGAATGGATGCTTAATCTGGTTTCTGGGGTTTCATGCTAACACATTGGATTATGTGGAACTGGACGATACCAGATAAATGGGAATATTCAGTCACATTCACGTATGTGCCTTGGAGGTGTAGAGGAGGCTTTGGGGGAGGAATGAGTTATGTGATTGAATACCCAGCATATAGCCTGCTCAAGAAACCTTGTCATTTATTAATTGGTCTTATTCAATTTTGCCCATGGCAGCCTCCAAGCTAGGAGATAGTAATAAGGACTGCAGGTGCTGGAAGTCTGCATCAATAAAATGTGGAGCTCGAGAAGCACAGCAGGTCAGACAGCATCGGAGCAGGAGGAAAGTTGATGTTTTGGGTTTGGACCCTTCAGGGCTGGGGCCGGGGAAGGGAGCTCGGAAATGAATAAAGGGAGGGCAGTGGGGCTGGCGGGATGCTGATAGGTGGATGCAGGTAGCGGGTTGTAGAGATTGGTCAGTGGGATGGGTGGAGCGGATAGGTGAGAAGGGAAATGGATAGATTGTGTCAGATCAAGGAGGCAGGGATGAGAGGGAGGGCTGGAGGTGGGCAGATTTTGAAGCTGGTGAACTCTTGTGTTGAGGCTATTGGGCTGTAAGCTCCCGAGGTGGAATATAAGGTGTTGTTTCTCCAGTTTACATGTGGCCTCATTTTGATAATGGAGGAGGCCCAGGACGGACATGTTGCCATGGGAGGGTGAGTTGAAATGGCTGGCAACCAGAAGGTGACGTTGATTGGCGTATACAGAGTGCAGATGCTTTGTGAATCGGTCACAGACTGTGCTTGGTCTCTCTGATATAGAGGAGACCACATCAGAAGCAACGGATGTAATTGACCAGGTTAAAGACATTCATGGGGGATAAGTCAGCTGCATAGGCAGGGAATGAGGAAGGAGATGTGGATATAATAGCAGTTTGGTTATCTCCTCCGTCCTGAAGCTCTTCAGCCACATCCTGAAACAAGAGTGTCGCAGTGGGAGAGAGACTCACTGAGATCTCTTCGGAGGGAGAAGGAAGGAAAAAAAACTTCAACGTGGACATCCTTGGAACAGGCATCGCAGTATGGTCTTCAGCGACTAGCAGATAGTAAGGACTGCAGATGCTGGAAGTCGAGTTGATAAAATATGGAGCTGGAGAAGCACAGCAGCAGACAGCATCGGGCTATTGGTGGAAAACTTCATGATGGTTATGCCATTTAAATTATTGCACACTGCACACTGATTTAGTCATGATGTAATAGGAACATTTACTTGCTGTATCATCAACCCAAACTTGGATATTGTTCAAATGTTGTAACAGGGCATTGTCATGCTTCATTGAGGATTACAAATTGTATGAAACATGGCAAGTTTCAGTAACCAGCCCTGCTACTGATGTTGCTAAAGATGATCTGAAAATAACTTTACCTGGAATGCTGCTCTGCCTTCAGCATCTGATTTTCTTCCCCCAGAAACTTATCACTGCAGGTTTGACACTTCTCAGTTCCTTTTCCTAAATCCTTCACCTCTATTCAGAATGTATCTAAGCTTTCTCTTGACTCCATCCTCAACCTGATCCCTATATTTAATGCCCTGCATTGTGCTAAGTTTCAACCCAAAAAGTCCTTTCCTGAATGGCTTTGAAGGGGCTCATTTCTGCATTCAGATACTGGGACCCACATGGAATTTATTCTTTGAGGGTGGAGGCAGAGGGGTTTAAGAAAATCTGGCTTTTGTTCCAATATTGATCATACCAGCTTTTTGACCAGTTTTTGTTTTCATCATTTGAATGTTAGCATAGACAGAGAAACAAAATTTCCATCAAGAGATGCATTATTACCTGAATTACAGCCTCCTGAAATCCATGAAAAAGGATCGAGGTTGCAGGGCAGTACCTTGCATTGGTAATATTTATTTATTGGCTAAAAAAATGAGCATGCTTCAACACTCAGGGTCATTGTTTTGGGTCACTGATCTTGCCAGACATGAAAGAATAGATTACAAGTATAGCTATCATTTAAATGGAAAAATGCAACATTTGTTGGTAAGAATAATTTTATTTTCAGTAGCTAAAGTTTTGAGAAGTCATGAATACAAACTCTGAATCTCTTCTGAAGATTATCCGCAAACTAAATTGACACTTGTTTGCACAATCTAGTATTGTATTTCAGCGCAATTAATTTGGACATCACTTCATCTGCAAATGCAAAGTACGCTGCAGTCTGAGGGGCTTTCCAAGATTCCCTATACAATGGACATTACCTTTTACTGTCAGACAGCAAGAGAATTAAGATTCTTTCAAATCTCATTGAAGAAATGACTCGCTGAGGTAAAACACCAAAGTGTAGAGGAATTATAGATTTTCTAATGATGATACACACATCACAAAATTTGAATGTTTTGTTACCTTTAATAAAAGATAAATAATAAGCTCCCCTTCTGTCAACTGCTAATATTTGAAGTTATGTAGGTGATTGTAATTGTAAATTATTTATTCAAGTATGGAATCTGGGCTAGCATTTTGCCTTTGATGTGGTTATGGTGAGCTGCTGCTGCTGTTCTGAACTGCTCTAGTCCACATCAATAGCTATAGGATGGTGTGTGTCTTAGAATGGGAGTGAGAGTCATGGTATTCCCATGTCCTTCTGTGTGGTAGAGATTACATGTTTAGAATGTGCTGCTGAAGGATTTCTACAGATCGTACAAACGGCCAGCCAGGTGCATCTATCCATCAAAAAGCAGGGTATGTGTGTACATCTTGCAACAAGATCTAGATGAAGAAAGAGATCGAACCAGTACTCTAACATCAACCAGCAACAAGCATCCCAATATTAATTTACAATATGCCACAAAACAGCACCTATTGAAACATAATTCTGTTTTCAATGCCATCATACAGCCAACAGACCAATATCAATCACCATTTAACTATGTCAGATTCAGAATTATCATGAAGACTATAGTACAACTTTTGCTTTTCGTGGAATGATGGTGTAGTGAATAAGTTGGGGTGGGGGAGAATGGAGGTAATACAAGCTTTAGTTGAGAACTACAGTATTCAATTCCATACCAGTGCTCACCAATGTTGAAATAACCAACCCTCAATGCACATTTTAATTGTTTTCTTTAGAATATCTATTATTGATAAACCAGATGACAGCAAATCAGATAATGATTGGAGTGCAACTTGTCAGCATTTAAGAAATAATTGCCATAAAGAAATAATTAACATCAAACTGATATAGTTGTAAGCAGCTATTTTTATATATTTGCTTTTCAATATAATCAAGAGATCCAGTTTAACCATTGAAGTTAGAGCCCAAAGCTGGAACTCTCCAGTGTTCAGGACTTATAAAAACTTGGCATAAAATGTGCCTCAGACCGATAACAGTAGAAAACATAAAAAGCTTAAGAGTTCTCCAGCTTCTACAGAGCTTAATTCAATACTACTAAAATTATTTTTCTTTCACAAAAGAACCTAATGTTATCCTAAGGCACCAGTGTAATATTAGCTATTTGTGGCATAAACAGATCACTCACACCCACCACACTGCTCTACCATTGAATAACAGTACGGCTACTCTGAATTGTAACCTCAAATATCCATTTTCAGCTATCCCTATTAATCTTTCACCCCTTACAAGAACGCATTTACTACTGCCTTAAAAATATCCAAGGAAGCTGGAGTTTTCTGTCAAAGGGTCAAGAAAACAAAGGCTCAACCCTTTGGAGGAAAACTTTTACCTAATCATTTTAATGCATGTTTTAAACGCTGGTAATAAGGAAGGTAAATGGAATTTTGGCATTTATTACTAAAGGAATTAAGGTAAGTAAATGTTGCTGCAACTGTACAATGTTTTAGCAGTTTTGGTCCCCATATGGGATGGAGTTGCTTTGGAGCAAGTTCAGAGGTGGCTCACTAATTCCAGAGATGAGGGTTTGTCTTATGAGGACAAATTAAACTGTTTATTCTCTACAGTTTAGTAGAATGAAAAGTCTAATTAAGATGCTGAAGGGGGATTGTCAAAATAGACACAGAGGGGATTTTCTTTGTGGTGTAATTCTAGAACAAGAGGTCATCATTTTAAGATCAGGGATAAAAGATTAAAAACATAAGAAATTACCTCAAAGGGTTATGGATTAATGGAATTCACTAGCCCTGAATGCAGTGGATGCTGGACATTGAGTAAGTTTGAGGAGATTTTTAATTACAAAAGTGTTGAAGGGTTATGGAGGGCTGGCAGGAAAATGGAGTTGAGGATGAGATGAGAGCAGCCATGATCATATTGAATGGCAGAGCAGGCTCAAGGAGCTGAACTGCTAACTCCTAGTTCTTAGATGACTCCTTATTTTTAAAATGATCTCATTCTAGATAAGAGGAAAGTTCAAACTTTCTGTCAAAATCTTTCAAAATTTACATGTTTCAATCAAGTTGCCTCTTACTCCTCCAAACTCCAGCAGATACAGCCTAGCCAGTCCAACCTTTTCTTAAAACAAACCATCTAATCCAGTAAATATTCTTGAACATATCTCCAACACATTTCCTTAAGTAAGATGACCAGTACTGTGTACTCCAGATCCTAGCGCACCAGTGCCCTGTATAACTGTAGAATAATCTCCTTTTGTATTCAGTTCCCTTTGCAATAAATGATATATTCTATTAGCTTTCATAATTACTTGCTGTACCTGCATGTATATCTTTTGCAAATCGTGTACAAGGACACCAAGATCCCTCTGCCATCTCTCACCCTTGAGGTAATATGCTGCTTTATTCTTCCTACAAAATGGGCAATTTCAAGTTTTCCCACATTCTACACTCCTTGCCACATTTCTTTTGCCCACTCACTTAAGCTATAAATATCTTGTGTACTCTTCAGAACATACTTTCCTACTTGTCTTTATGTCAGCAGCAAATTTGGCAACCTTCATTAAGTCAATTACATACAGTGGGGCAGTGAGTAAAATACCCACTGTTTACAATCTACAACCCTGTCACCGCACACCAAGAAGCTGCAAGTCTCTCAGCTGGAGTCCTTTATTCAGGCCATTTCTGAAACTGTGGGGTGGAAAAAAATCCTTCCTAGCATCTTGGTTAATGCAGGGCCTATGCGTAACTGTATCTTTAACAGTCCAGACAGTTCCTTGCCATGTTTGGGAAGCGTATTTTTATAAACGGATTCACGAAGTGTGGGTGTTGCTGTAAAGGCCTGCATTTCTTGCCCATTCTGATTACCCTGAGGGCAATTTAGGCTCAACCACAGTGCTGTGGGTCTAGAGTCACATGTAGGACAGGTAGCTTTCCTTCCCAAAAATACATTAGTGAATCAGAACGGAGTTTATCACAATAGAGTGGTTTAGTGTTTGCTATTAGAATGGCTTTTAATGCCAGACTTGCTTTTTCTTGAATTCACATTTCACGATCTGCCATGATGAAATTTGAATTCACGTCCCAGAGTATTCTTTAGGGATCTGGATTACTAGTCAAGTGCTATGATTACTACTCCACTGAAAGCCTGTCTTCAGAAATTGGAAAACACTTGTCTTAAAAAGGCAGTAATTAGAATTCACCATGTTAGCCAATATTAATATTGATTGTAAAGAAATTCAAAAACAATAGGCTGTGCATAAGGAAATCACATTTTGCACTCATTTTAACGTATAAAATAGCATTATTCATATGACAAGGAGACATAAACATAGGATTCAGTTTCTTTTATAAAGTACATAATTATCATTAAATCGGGTTCATGTTTTATATACCAGTTACTGAATTCCACCAACATGTAATTTGAAAAATCCAGTTCTCTCTGTGACTGTTCACAATATTGTGAACAATCTAGTGTCGCAAACTCATGGTCAGTTCACAATATGTACTGAATAACAACTTTCCAAACACTGCAATAAAAGAACTTTTCAATTTTTCCAATGTATCTGGAAATTGTGATATCATTGAACAGAAAAAGTAGTGATTAATTCATTTGTCATAATGACAACTGACTTTTGAAATTTAATCCACTCTCTACTGCATTACTAATGTATTTTTCGTCAGGCAATTGAGCTGCTTAGAGGGAAATCCATTACTACATTTCATATTGCCTGAACAAAACTGCTGAGAATTGATAACATGCCAACCGGTTCCATTTTTCCCACAAGCACAGTTTTCGTGTAGAGACAAACCCCACAAGCAAAAACAATCTATTTTAAACATGAATCAGACTGCTTTTGCTTCCAGAAGCAACTCATGTTTTCTCTGCAACATTAAAGCCTTTGACTGTTCATGTATAACACATATTGTATTAGGCTTTCAATAATTGGCAAAATTCATAGATTTATCACTACCTACATTTTGGAAAGGCAAATCAGGGCAGGACTTGTACACTTAATGGTAAGGTCCTGGGGTATGTTGATGAACAATCAGACCTTGGGCTGCAGATGCATAGTTCCTTGAAAGTAGAGTTGGAGGTAGACAGGATAATGAAGGCAATGTTTGGTATGCTTGCCTTTATTGGTCAGTGCATTGAGCACAGGAGTTGGGTGATCATGTTGTTGAAGTACAGGACATTGGTTAGGCTACTTTTGGAATACTGCATTCAATTCTGGTCTCCCTGATATAGGAGAGATGTCATTAAATTTGAAAGGGTTCAAAGAAGATTTACCAAGGCTGTTGCCATGGTAGGAGGGTTTGAGCTACAGGGAGAGGCTGAATAGATCATAGAATAGAATTCCCTAGAGCGTAGAGTCCACAATGACCCTCCGAGAGTATCTCAGCCACACTCACTGCCCTGCCCTATCCCTGTAACTCTGCATTTCCCATGGCTAGGTCTACCTAGCCTGCACATCCCTGGACACAATGGGCACTTTATCATGGATGGGGAGAAGAGATATCAGAAAAATGCACTGCAGAATACTTCTATCTTCAGTGTGAACAAGTTAATAAATCTGACAATTTAGCCAGTCATAGTTCCCTCCACAGTTATCTGCTGGAGGATGCAAAATTATGAATCTGACCCTCAATTTTCTGAAAGTTTAACACACTTCATGATCATAAAAAAAATTGTGAAACACAACCCACTATAGAATCATCAAGCTGTACAGCACAGAAACAGACCTTCGGTCCAACTCATCCATGCTGACCAGATATCCTAAATTAATCTAGTCAATCCTATTTACTGGCATTTGGCAAAACCTTCCTATTCATGTACCCATGCAGATGCCTTTTAAATGTTGTAACTGTGCCAGCCTCCTCCACTTCCATATATGCACCACCTTTTGTGTGAAAAAGTTGCCTGGCTGAGGCTATTTTCCCTGCAGTGTTGGAGACTGAGGGGCGACCTTGAAGAGGTTTATAAAATAATGAGGGCCATGGATAGGGTAAATTGGCAAGGTCTTTTTCCTGGGGTAGGGGAGTCCACAACTAGGGCATAGGTTTAAGGTGAGAGGGGAAAGATTTAAAAGGGAGCTGAGGGGCAACTTTTTCAGAGGGTGGTGCATGTATGGAATAAACTGCCAGACGAAGTGGTGGAGCCTGGTACGATTACAACATTTAAAAGGCATCTGCGTGGGTACATGAATAGGAAGGGTTTAGAGGGATATGGGCCAAATGCTGGTCTAGACTGTACGAAGTGGCTTCATCTCGGAGCACTGTTCTAGATGGTCGGTCTGGACAAGTTGGACCAAAGGGTCTGTTTCCGTGCTGTACAGCTCTATGACTTGTGTTTCAAACTGACATAAGCTGGCACGTTATTTGTTCCAAAAATTGGTGAAAGTGATAACTGTCAAAGAATCTTGGAATTTATGCAGTACAGAAAATGTCCATTCAATCATGTCCTTTCTTACTGCTCTTTTTCTTTGCACTGTTTTGTTTTTGTTTTTCAAATAGGTTAGTTGTTTCCACGAGTGAATAAAATTGCACAAAATTACACACTTTACATTCAACTATTCTTACCTCTAAAATGTACAATAATGCAACTGGAGATTTTAAGGGCTCCATGCTGCAGTAGTGAGGGCACACAACACTGTTACTAGGAACAGTTCTGCAATCCAGTGATCATGAAGTTTTGTATACCAGTGGAGCTTATGGTTAAAACGTGACAAATAATTAAATAGAGAAACAAGATGGAGCACAATCAGAACTAGTTCCCCAGATTGACTTAAATCTGTAAACCAGATTTCAGCTGCAGGATTTACAAGAATTAACAGTCCCTCTACAAGAGATACAAATTGTCATGCAAATTTTTAAAACCCTTCTCAGACATCAAAATCAACATATAATTTACTCTAATATATCCTAATGATAATCATATAATTACAAGCAGCCTGCTGATGTATATTCACATTTTCAAAGATTTTGTTTCAAAAACAGACAGACAAGGAGCAAGTGTTTAAATGTAATTCAAGTATAGGGTCATCTTTAATTTGTCCTTTAACTGGTCTTCTGCTGACAGATTTGTAAACATATCTGCTTGGTTTGTAGTATTCAGTCATTCTTTTCTCTCTCCAAGTTAAATAGTTTCTTTTTCGGAGAGCCACCTAGATACCTCTGGGTAGAAAGTGAAGGGAAAGAGCTGTGTTCTGGAGAAACAAGGTCCATGCTCTTCACTGAAGCAGCTCTAGTTGGAATCCGTTCTGCGTCATTCTTTACATCACTCATTTCAATCACTTCAAAATCTGCATCGTTCCAGTCTTCCGGAGGGTCATCATTGTTTTCATCTTCATCAAGCCCTGACCCTAACAGAGCTTTCTGGTCATCATTCTCTGGTTGGATACTGCTTGGAGATGAAGCTAGTTTGTACATCACAGGGAACAAGATGGCTGTCATTGCGGAGGTCCCCAGAGCAGTCAGCATCAATACAGGATATTGCTTGATGGTGTCAAGGCCTTGAAGGAACCCAACCAAAGCTGGAACCACCATTTCACCCAATGCCGCTCCGAAAACAAACAAAGCTGCTGACTTCCCAGTAGTGTTTGTGTATTGCCTGATCCAGGATACACCGCTGGGAAAGGTGGCGGCCATCGAGGCTCCATAAAGAGCAGTGCCCACCCACAGAGAAATTAGATTCGTGTTATGGAGTGTCAGAATTATGGATGAGATGGTGCAGCCTATTAGACTCAGCAGGATCATCGTTCCAGGGTAAAGGCACGTGGCTAAAAATATTGCGAGTCCCCGACCTGTGGCAAATGTCCCCCAGAACAATGAGTTTAAGCCGGCGGCCTGGTTGTCATTAAAGTGAACAAAGTCTTTTGCGTACGTAAAGATGTACGATCCATATGCCACCTCAGCTCCCACATACCAGAAGAAGAAGAAGAACAGGAGGAACAAAATAACATTGTGGTATCTTGCAAATGGAGGGTCCTGGGAGGAAACAGCAGCCCTGCTTCGATTTGGACTGCTCCTTAAATAAATAATGAAGAACAATACAGAAATTAAAAGCACAAAGCTTCCAATAACAATATATGTCCAGGTAAAAGGAGTGAAGGCTGAAACAGTTGTTTTCAGTACGTCCATAAAATGCACCAAGTTACTCTGAGAGCTATTCTTGGTATTGCTCAAGATGCCATTCCCACTATTGTCAGTGATCTTTTGTAAGGTGCCCAATAGTGGTTTTGCTAGGATAGGAGCCACAAATGCACCTAATGCAAAACTGAAGTGCAGCGCCTGCATATAGGGTCTGACTTTCGTGCCCCACACAAGCAAAATGAGCAAATTTCCACCTGCAAACAAACAGCAAAACAAGTTATTTTCATCTCTATCCATGGTGAGCTCTCACCTATTTGGAAAATTACTTACACAAACCATAATGTAAAAAAGCAACAGGTGTAAATGCTGGACATACACAGCAGGTTTGATAGCGTCTGTAAAGAGTAAGGGAGGGTAGTATTTCAAAACGATAGTTACAATAGCATCACTGACTCATGGTTACTGGTCATTTCCAAGTGCCTTTTAGAAGGTGGAGGTGAGCTGCCTTGTCGAAACTACAGTGTCTCCTGTGCTGCATGTCCCCTACAACGCTGTTAGGGACGGAGTTCCAGGATCGTGAATCAGTGACCGTGAAGTTCCAAGTCAGGATGCCATTTAAGTTGAAGGGGAGCTTACAGTTCATGGTGTTCTCATGTAATAAGAGGTGGAAGCAGCTGCCAACATGGCATTGTTAATTTTAGCAATAAGTCATGCTGGAAAACTGAAACATTGGCACTTTAGGCTTACACACAATCCTCATTGATTTAGTGATCATGAAAGACGAAACATTCATGTTGGGGGGACCTTCAGAAGTTTCAGCACTGGGGCAGCAGACAGTCTTTAAGCTAGCTAACAACGGGATCGGAACTTGATCTTCAGTACAGTGAGATACTGTACATAAACAGTATCTTTAAAATGTGTCAAGTCAGAGTTGTAACATAAAGGAGCACCAGTTTCAGAAAAGAAAGACTTTCCGTTGATTAAGGAAATCTAAAACCTAAGCAGAAACAGATTAAAGGAAAGTAACTGTCAAAGAGACTAGTGATTGTATCAAGCTCAGATGTAGCAAAAGTTACTCTCACAGTAGCCAGATTGTCAGTGGAAAAGATACAGTGGTGGTTGTAAAGGTATTTTCAGTTACATTATAAATCAGAGGGTGGTTAAAGGATTCTGGCAGCTTTAACTTGCCTCCCTGGATAGGATGGATATTTTGTGTAGTCACCTTGCATCATTCATTAGCCCTACAGCCTGCACTTATTTACCAGTAAAATTAACACCAAAGCTGTACATATTAATATAGATGTAATTCCAGTCCTGAAACCTATACAATTTTTGAAATTGTCTGAGAGAGCTTCAAATCAAAAGTATTTATTTGAGATTTCTTTAAGAAAAAACTGAAAGGTGCAATGAGTGAGTTCTTTGCTCAATCAAGTTTTTTTTTAGTTCATTCACAAGATGTCAGCGTCGCTGGCTAGGCCAGCATTTTTTGCCCAAGAGGGCAGGTGAGAGTCACATGTAGTCCAGACTTGTTCAGGACTTTGGTGAACCAGGTAGGTTTAACTGTTCGGTTCAATGTCACAAACAGCTGTGCTGGAATCAAAACAATTGGGAAACAAAAAATACAATCTTAAATGTCTAAACATAATTACAGAGTGGGCCTGTGCATTGGAGTTTGCAGTAAATGACTTTCCTGGTGAAAAACATTTTGATAGAGGCAGAGGAAAAAGGGGGAGTGAAGTCAATAGCTCCACACGTATTGACCACCTTCGGCCAAAGTAGCAAATGTCAAACAGCCAATCTGCTGTGGTTCTCACCCATCACCTTCTCAATATTTAAAAAAATTAGAACAGAAAAGTTTCCTAATCCAAGGAGCCCAGGCAGACTGTGCTGCCCCCAGTGAAATAACTCATCACAGACTGAAGATTTTCTTTAAAAAAACTGAAATATGTGCATTTATGTAGTGCCACCGAACATCTCAAGGTACTTTACAGACAATGAAGCATTTAACGGACAATACAGGAAAATGGTTGAAGTAAAAGATCAGATGATCTCACTAAATGGAGAAATAGCCTTGAAAGGGCTGAATGGCCTACTACTGCTCCTATTTCTTATGTTTTGAAGTGTAGCCAGTACTGTAATGTAGGAAATGTAACCGCCAGTATATAGACACAGCAAACTCCTACAAACAACAATATAATAATGTGCAGGTAACCTGTTTTTGAGATGGTGACTGGGAGATAAATATCATTCAGAACACCACAGATAATTCTCCTGCTCGGTTTCAAAACAATTTCTTGGGATCTTATGTCCATCTGAGGAAGACAGAGATAGCACCCAAAAATGGCGCAAAACTGCATGGGAGTGTCAGTCTTGTTTCCCGCAGGCCCTGGAGTGGGAACTGAATCCAGAACTTTGTGCCGCAGAAATGAAAGCACTACTGAATGAACACAAGTGACCTTGCAGTGGTACTATGGTAGCATTCTTGCTTCTGAGTCAGAACACTGTACATGTAATCCTCACCACAAAGTCTTTGATATATAATCTAGGTTGATACTTCAGTTCTAAACTGAGGATAGCCATATTGGGGAGATGCTGGTGTTGGACTGGGGTGGACAAAAGAAGTCACACATCACTTCACCTGACAAAGGAGCAGCATTCTGAAAAGCCTGTGATTTCAAATAAACCTGTAGGACTATAACCTGGTGTCATGTGACTTCTGACTACACTGAGGGAAGTATTGATTTCACTGTACTATCTGAAGAAGAGTGGGCAAGTTGACCATGCTGTCCAGGACAACAATTTAATCACTCAATCAACATCACTGAAACTGATTTCCTGTTAATTTAGCTCTGTTGTTTGTTGGCTGCTGGATTTGCCCACTTAACAACAACAACTTTGTCATGAAGTACTTTGTGACATCCCTCGGAGATGAAAGGTGCTACATGGACTGCAGTGGTTCAAGAAAATAGCTCACCACCACCCTCTCAAGGGCAGCTAAGGACAGGCAATAAATGCGGGCCAGCCATAAGAGAATATATTAAAAAAAACTAGCCCTTTGTTTCTTACTATTCCTGTTCTATGTTGCTGAACACTGTACTCATACAGTATGTTCTGGAAATGTTTACAGTGCTTTACTGACCTTACTCAGCAGACTGCTGACTATTCTACTCCCAAAACATACATTATATTGAAATGGAGAGAACATTGGCCTTTCCAGGAAGAATAGAAACTCAAAGACAGCCAACAACATTTAGGAAATAAAATTGAACAAACTGAGACTGGGGAATAAATGTTAAGGCCCGAAGCAGATATTTTCCTGAAATTTTAGGAGGCAAGAACATAAGAACTAGGAGCAGGAGTAGGCCATCTGGCCCCTCGAGCCTGCCCCGCCATTTAGTAAGATCATGGCTGATCTTTTTGAGACTCAGCTCCACCTATCCGCCCACTCACCATAACCCGTTAATTCCTTTACGGTTCAAAAATTTATCTAGCCTTGCCTTAAAAACATTCAGCGAGGTAGCTTCAACCGCTCCACTGGGCAGGGAATTCCACAGATTCACAACCCTTTGGGTGAAGAAGTTCCTCCTGACCTCAGTCCTACATCTGCTTCCCTTTATTTTGAGGCTATGCCCCCTAGTCCTAGTTTCACCTGCTAGCAGAAACAACCTCCCTGCCTCCACCTGATCTATTCCCTTCATAATCTTATATGTTTCTATAAGATCTCCCCTCATTCTTCTGAATTCCAATGAGTACAATCCCAGCCTACTCAGTCTCTCCTCATAATCCAACCCTCTCAATTCTGGAATCAACCGAGTGAATCTCCTCTGCATCCCCTCCAGTGCTAGTATACCCCTTCTCAAGTAAGGAAACCAAAACTGCACACAGTACTCCAGGTGTGGCCTTACCAGGACCCTATACAGCTGCAGCATAGCCTCCCTGTTTTTAAACTCCATCCCTCTAGCAATGGCAGACAAAATTCCATTTGCCTTTTTAATTACCTGCTGCACCTGCAATCCTACTTTTAGCGATTCATGCACAAGGACGCCCAAGTCCCTCTGCACAGCAGCGTGCTGCAATTTTTTTACCGTTTAAAACATAGTCCATTTTGCTGTTATTCCTACCAAAATGGATGACCTCACACTTATCAACATTGTGCTCCATCTGCCAGACCTTTGCCCACTCACTTAGACTATCTATATCCCTCTGCAGACTTTCAGTGTCTTCTGCACACTTTGCTCTACCACTCATCTTAGTGAGTCCCCAACTCCAAATCATTTATGTAAATTGTAAACAATTGCGGTCCCAACACTGATCCCTGAGGCACACCGCAAACCACTGACCTCCAACCAGAAAAACACCCATTTACCCCTACGCTTTGTTTTCTACTGGTCAACCAATCCTCTATCCATGCCACTACATTACCTAAAATAGCGTGCAACTTCATTTTATGTAGCAGCCTTTGGTGTGGCACCTTGTCAAATGCCTTCTGGAAATCCACATACACCACATCCACAGGTTCCCCATTGTCCACCATGCAAGTAATGTCCTCAAAGAATTCCACCAAATTAGTTAAACATGACCTACTCTTCGTGAACCCATCCTGGGTGTTCCCAATGGGACAATTTATATCCAGATGTCTTGCTATTTCTTCCTTAATGATAGATTCAAGCATTTTCCCCACTACCGAAGTTAAGCTAACTGGCCTATAGTTACCTGCTTTTTGTCTACTTCCTTTTTTAAACAGTGGCGTCACATTGGCTGTTTTCCAATCTGCGGGAACCACCCCAGAGTCCAGTGAATTTTGGTAAATAATTACTAGTGCATTTGCTATTTCCCCCATCACCTCTTTTAGTACCCTGGGATGCATTTCATCAGGGCCAGGAGACTTATCTACCTTTGGCCCCATTAGCTTGCCCAGCACTGCCTCCTTAGTGATAATGATAGTTTCTAGGTCCTCACCTGCTATAACTTTCTTGCCATCAGTTTTCGGCATGTTATTTGTGTCTTCCACTGTGAAGACCAACACGAAATAACTGTCTAATGCCTCGGCTATTTCCTCATTCCCAGTTATTAAATTGGCCTTCTCATCCTCTAAAGGACCAATGTTTACCTTCGCCACTCTTTTACGATTTACATATTTATAGAAACTTTTGCTGCCTGTTTTTATTTTCTGAGCTAGTTTACTCTCATAATCTATCTTACTTTTCTTTATAACTTTTTTTGTGGCTTTCTGTTGGCCTTTAATGATTTCCCAGTCTGCTAGTTTCCCACTACTCTTTGCTTTTTTGTATGTGTTTTTTTTCAACCTGATACTTTCCTTTATTTCCTTAGACATCCATGGCTGGCTGTCTCTTTTCTTACAGCTCTTCCTTATCACTGGAGTATACTTCTGCTGAGCACTGTGAAAAATTGTTTTGAAAGTTCTCCACTGTTCCTCAATTGACCCACCATAAAGTTTTTGCTCCCATTCTACCTTAGCTAACTCCTCCCTCATTCCTTCATAGTCTCCTTTGTTTAAGCACAGGACATTGGTACTGGATTTAAACTTCTCACGCTCCATCTGTATTTTAAATTCGACCATACTGTCATCGCTCCTTCCGAGATGATCCCTAACTGTGAGATCATTAATTATTCCTGTCTCATTACACAGGACTAGATCTAGGATAGTTTGCTCCCTTGTAGGTTTCATTACATATTGTTCAAGGAAATTATCGTGGATGCATTCTATGAACAAGGAGACCAGTAAGTTGCAAAATTAAATGCAATGCAAAAGTTGCGAAGGGTTAACTTAAAATCAAGTTAAGACAAAGATTTCTACTCTAAGTAATGCAATAATTTTGGAAACAATTCACCAAATATCTCAGCAGACTTTGGACAGTGAGTGTTTAACCAGAGAGAGCCAAGAGGCAGGGTGGACAAGGAATGGGGGTAGTGGGGTGGAATGGCACAGAAGCTTAATGGATCTCAACATCCTCAGGCTGAGGTAGACAGTAAACAGAGGAAGAACAGGGTTAGTGCATCCAGTAAAAGATCAGTGCTGGCTGCTACAAGTAACCACCTGATTATTAGGGAGTAGACTTTGACAGTTTTGCACCGACAGTTAACACCAGTCTAATACTCTCAGTTCACAGAATCAGAGAGTTATAATGTGCAGAAAGAAACCATTCGGCCCATTGTGACTGCACCAAGTCTATTATGTAATGCCGATCTCCTGCCTTTTCTCCACTTCCCTGCACGCCATTTTTTCTATCTAAATTAACCATCCAATACCCTCTCAATGTCTCAATTGAACCTGCCTCCACCACATTTCCAGGCAGTGCATTCCATATCCAAATAACTCAGTGTGGAAAAGTTTTTTTCTCACATCACCCTGGCTTCATTTATATACCATTTTAAAATCGATGACCTCTAATTCTTGTTCCTTTTGCAAACGGGAACAATTTCTCTTTATCTACAAGAAAAACAGAAATTGCTGGAAAAGCTGAGCAGGTCTGGCAGCATCTGTGAAGAGAAATCAGAGTTAATGTTTCCAGTCCAGTGACCAGACCCAAAATGTTACCTCTGATTTCTCTTCACAGACGCTGCCAGACCTGCTCAGTTTTTCAGGCAGTTTCTGTTTTTGTTTCTGATTCCCAGCATCCGCAGTTCTTTCGGTTCTCCTTATCTACTCTGTCCAGCCACTTGCGATTTTGAAAACCTCAGTCCGATCTCCTTTCAGCCTTCTTTCTCCAAGGAGAACATTCCCAACTTCTTCAATCTCTCCTCAGAGGTAAAGTTTCTCATTCTTGGAGCCATCTCAGTAAATCGCTTCTGCATCTCTCTCCAAAGCATTTGTATTTTTCCAATAAAGTGGTGTCCAGAAATGTACACACTCCTCCTGCTAACAACTTATGACTAACAATTGTGTGGTCACTGGTATGTTGTGCACCAATAGGTCACCATCTTCAAGAATCAAGGGTCTGAGGGAAACATTTTGAGTGCACGGGTCAAACATTTTGGGATTCTGTGATTAACACAGGAGTCACCTGATTGAGATTACACCTTGGACACTGCTCCAATCACGTTGGAACTAAAGTCTAAAGTGAAGCTCTGCAACACTAACATCATCTCCTTCATGTGTACAGAACAAAAAGTTCATGTTTAAATGGAATCATAGGTATCCTCTGTTTAAAACACAATCTGATAGCAAGTCTTCATTTTAGCATGGTTTACAAATACAGGACCTTCACTTTCATTTTAGTAGTTACTGCAATGCACAAGAACCATATTCTAACTGTCTTTTTAAACATACCACCTCTTTCTAAGCCTCTCTCCCAATCCGTTACTCACTGCCACTGACTGGACCTCTCCTGATCCCGTTGCTGCCTCCCACTCATTATTTTCCCTCCTGTTTCCAGCCTTCTCCTAAACTCCTCAATCCCACCAGTTTGCTGCTTTCACCCACTGACCCCGCCCCCCGAGACCTAGCTGTCAACAAGGGCTCAGAAGAGACGAATGACAGGAGAGTGGCATCTGGGGGAGGGTTGAAGGGTCAGCAGTGAGGGTAGGAGATGGGGGGGATTATGTGGGGCGAGGGTCTGGAGGGGTAGGAGCTGGGGAGTGTGTGGGGTGAGGAAGAGGCCACCAGTGAGTGCAAGGGGGCAAAAGGAAGGATAAACAGATGTCTGTTTCAACTCTCCAGCCTCTGCAGTTCTTTGTAATATTATCTTAGCATGAAACAGCGATCAGGAGGTAGGAAACAGTGAGTTGGAGTCAAGTAGAAAGACAAGTAAGCAAGTAAGCATAGGAAGCTAGAAACAGTAACAAGCTGATTTTTGGGGCAGTGATTTGAAAGTAGCCAGCACCTTTTTAGTGTAAAATTTACAGCAACATAATCCACCCTTACCTTGTTCCTTGTTATGGAAAGTCATTTTTGCTTAGTACACATTATTTTCAGGAGTACATGAGGTTGCTAAACAAGGGATAGCTGTTCTCTCGAAGATGTACCGACCTGTATCCAGGAAGCCCATTGAAATTCCAATGAGGGACATCAATCCCGTCAATATGATAGCCTTCGTACACCACGGAATAGTATACATTCCCAGTGAAGTCATTAGCATCGAAATTCCTAAACAAGTTTAGAACAACAGAACAAATAATGGTACTTCTGAAGATACAAATGTGGGGTCACATGTAGGTATGTCAGAAGAGCTACTTTCCACTGTTAAACAAACTCAATTTATATTTGCCAACAATAATGAAAAAAAAGATGCAAATGTACAGTGCCTTATTCAACAATTATATTTTAGGCAAATGACTTGAGGATAAATTGCAGTTTTAGCTGTAGGAGTTAACATAAACAGTTGGATTTAGCAGTCTGAATGCGGGCCAAGAAACAACAGCATTCAATTATGTACAACCAGCTCATAACTAATATAAACTAGCAAAAATAATTGCCTTAATGTAAATCAGAGTTAAAATCCCATCCTGGCCACATCACCTAATCTGAATGTAACTTCTTTGTCAGGCTAAATCTGCTCTCCAATCTTAATTACTCAAGGAAAGTTCGAAAGATTTTGGCCATAAGTCATATACAGTCCAAAAATTCTCAAAAATGTTATTGATAGACGAAAAAAGAAAATCAAGAAAACAAGTGTGGGGTAACATCAGAAATCAATATCAGATTCTTTGAAAAACCCATGTAGGGGTTGGGGACAGGAAGCAGTTGGCAATTGGCAGGCAAGAGTTACAGTGACTGGTGCAAAAACAGGCAGGGAACTCTGCAGCTAGTACTCAGTGTGGAGCTTGAACAGCATTGAATAGTCAGACAGGACTTCGTAACTTTAAGGTAGGAACACTCGTTTTCTTGGTCTGCACAAACCGATGTGTAGTCCCTGCCATTTATAGTGGGCATGTTAGCACTAAAACAATGAGCTTTGAAATTGGAAAGCTCACCTGGAAGCTGCCTTTTGTATTAGCAGTCACATCCAATCGCATTATATCAAAGTGCAAGCAGCTCACGTGGGTGGAAGTCAGCCATTTAGCATCAGACACTAAACAAGGAGGCCATTCAGCCCACTGTGCACATGACAGGACTTTGAAAGAATTGTTCAACTGATCCCATTTACCTTCTTTCTCCATGGCCATGCAATTTTTCTTTCAAACATATGTGTAGAGTAAGTATCTGTTGAACTGCCTAAAAAGGACCTTGTGGCACAGTGGTAGTGTTCCTACTTCTCAACCGGAAGGCCCTGGTTCCAAGTTCCATCTGCCCCAGATGTGTGTCATCACATATCCCAACAGGCTGATTAAACTTCAGTTTGAATTGGTTCAAGTAATTCCCAACAAGAATATGAGTGGTACTTTGTAATTGACTGTTTCTAGTAATAGGAATGGCTGATGATTATAAGACCACAAGATAAAGCAGCAGAATTAGGCCATTCAGCCCACTGAATCTGCTCCACCATTCAATCATGACTGATAATGTTTGTCAAACTCATCCTCCTCCTTTCTCCCCATAACCTTCGAACCCTTACTAATCAAGAACCTATCTGCCTCTGTCTTAAATACACTAAATACTCTGTAGCAAGGAGTTCCACAGATTCACCACCCTCGGGCTAAAGAAATTCCTCTTCATCTCAGTTATAAAGGGTTGTCCCTTCACCCTGTGGTTAGTCCTAGTCTTTCCTACGAGTGGAAAAATCTTCACACCCACTCTATCCAGGTCTCTCAATATTCTCTAAATTTTAATCAGATCCTCCCTCATCCTTCTAAACTCCACAGAGTACAATCCAGAGTCCTCAACCACTCCTCATATAACAAGCCCTTCAACCCCGGGATCATTCTTGCGAACATCCTGTGGACCCCTCCATTGCCAGCACATTCTCCCCTAGATGTGGGACCCAAAACTGATCACAATATTCCAAGATAGTAGGAACTGCCGATGCTGGAGAGTCTGAGATAACAAGGTGTAGAGCTGGATGAACACAGCAGGCCAAGCAGCATCACCTTTCTGAAGAAGGGTCCAGACCCAAAATGTCAGCTTTCCTGCTCGTATAATGTATAATGTGAATAGTTGTGGTCCTAACACTGACCCCTGCAGAACTCCACTAGTCACCAGCTGCCATCCTGAATATGACCCCTTCATCCCTATTCTGCTTTCCGCCAGTCATCCAATCCTCTCTCCATGCCAGTATCTTGCCCCTAACACCATGGGCTCTTACTTAGCAGCCTCCCGAGCAGCACCTTGTCAAAAGCCTTCTGGAAATCCAAACAGATCAGGTCCAATGGCTCTCCTTTGTCTAACTTGCTTGCTACTTCTGCAAAGAATTCTAACAGATTTGTCAGGCAATGACCTCCCCTCCCCTTGACGAAGCTGTGATGACTCCACCCTACTTTACCATGCATTTGCAAGTACTCTATGTCAATGGAGGGTGAAAGGCTAAACTGCTTTGACCCTAATTTAAATTACCTGCAAATTTACAGAGTGAATACAGGAGTGCTGGAGCTTCAAGTTGACTAAACATTGCTATAATAACTGATCTGACAATCCTGAAATTTACTTTCCTGCTTTTCCCCCTAACCCTTGGATTCCCTTACTGTCAATCTCAGCCTTGAATATACTTAATGATCCAGCCTAGACAGCCCTCTATGGTAAAGAATTCCAAGATTGATTACCATCGGAAGAAATTCCTCCTCAATTTTGTCTTAAAAGGGTGACCCCTTACTTTGAGATGATGCCCTTTGGTCCTAGACTCTCCCACAAGGGAAAACAAGAGCTGCACATCTACCCTGTCCCTGTCAATTCCCTTAAGTTTCAATAAGGGGGTCACTTCTTATTCTTCTAAATTCTAATAAGGCCAGGCCCAACCTTTTCAACCTCTCCTCATAAGAAAATCCCTCCATACACAGAATCAATTTATGGACCTTCTCTGGACTGCCTCCATACCAGTATGTCACTCCTCAGACAAGGAGACCAAAACTGTTTACAGTATTCTTGCTGTGATCTGACTAGTGCCTTGTATAATTTTACCAAAACTTCTCTATTTCTATACTCATTCCCTCCTAAATAAATGCCAACAATCCATTTGTCTTCCCTCTTACCTTGGACACTAGTTTATTGTGATTGATGCATAAGGCCAGTGTTTGTTGCCCTTCCCTAACTATCCTTGAACTGAACAGCTTCCTGGCCAGCTCAGAGTCAACTCCATTGATTCCTTAAGGGGCTTGACAGGATGAATGCTGAGAAGATGTTTCTCCTCATGGGAGAGTCCAGGACTAGATCACATCATCTCAGAATAAAGGGGAACCAATTTAAGACTCAGATGAGAAGGAATTTCTTCTCTTGGAGGGCTGAGAGTCTTTAACTCCTTGCCACAGAGTGCTGTAGGGGTGGAGTCCTTGTGCATATTTAAGGCTGAGACAGATTCTTGATCGGTCAGGGAATCAAGGGTTGTAGGAAAAAGGCAGGAAAGTAGACATGAGGAATGTTGGATCAGCCACGCTCCTACCGATTGGTGGAGCAGGCCTATGGGGCCGAACGGACTGTTCCAATTCTTATGGTTTTATTGATGTGGGTCTGGAGTCACATACGGGCCAGACTAAGCTAAAATAAGATGTTTCCTTCTCTAAGGACATAAGTAAATGAGGTGGGTTTTTAGAACAATCGATGTAGTCTCAATGTCATCATTCCTGAGACTAGCTTTCAACGCAGATTTATTCATTTAAATTCCATCAGCAGCTGCCCTGGGATTTAAGTCATATAATCATGCAGCACAAAAACAGACCCTTCGGTCCAACCAGTCCATGCCAAACATAATCCCAAACTAAACTGTAGTCCCACCTGGCCTGCTCCTGGCCCATATCCCTCCAAATCTTTCCTATTCATATATTCATCTGAATGTCTTTTAAATGTTGTAACTGCACCCACATCCACCACTTTCTCAGGAAGTTCATTCCACATGCGAACCACGCTGTGTAAAAAAAAAAAAAATCGCCTCTCATGTCTTTTTGAAATCTCTCTCCTCTCACCTTAAAAACGTACCTGTAGTCTTGAAATCCCCCATCCTAGGGAAAAGACAACTACCATTAATTCTATCTATACCTCTCATTATTTTATAAACATCTATCAGGTCACCTCTCAACCTCCTAAGCTCCAGTGAATAAAGTCCCAGCCTACTTAGTCTTTCTTTCTAACTCAAACCTGCCATACCCGGCAACATCCTGGTAAATCTCTTCTGAACTCTCTCCAGTTTGATAATATCCTTCCTATAACTAGGCGATTCGAGCCTGTCCCCAGAGCATTAACGTGTCCAGTTACTCTGCCGCTATGACACTGCATTTATAAATCATACAGTAAGTCTTTCTTTAAAGCTGCTCTCTCATCACACATCAGAGGATTAATTTTAACATCACTTCCCATATGATTGGAGCAATTTCTGAGCAGCCTCACCTGCTCTCTAACACTCCAATTTCAGGCCTCTCCCATGCCCAGCATTCTGGCCTAGCAGCTTGCCCTCATTCCCATCGCTCTGACTTGCAGCTTCTCCCCCGACAGTGGAGCCCAAGGTCCATATTGAAGTCGCTGCCTGACAGTATCTCACGGACAGCCATCAGCAGGAAGCTATCCTCCTGACCACTGCCAGCTTCGCAGATTCACTCAAATGACCAGAACCGCTCCTTGCCCACAGTGGGGCCTTCCTCCCCCTTCTCCTGGGAGGGTGCTGGGTCATGGCTTAGTTTAGTTGGCTCCCCCTTCTCTTTCTGTCAAGGCCGCAAGCCTGATGGTCAGGAGGGAAAGGATCTGATCATTCGGGAGCGGGAGGGTCAGCAAGCAGGTTCAATGGCAACACGTGCTGCAAGAAAGTTATACTTTCCTTTCACATTTTTTAATTGATTTTAATTGAAAAGTTATTTCCCTTATCAATGAATGTCTCAATTTAGAGGGTGCAATGTTCTAATAAGGAAAGCCATGCAGAAACTGACTTTTTTTAACATGGATTTGTATGGGAACCAGTGTTTCATTTTTAGCCCATTTTAGAAGCACCACCACAACCTTAAGTGAGGACATACTACATTCTTATTGAGTTCAAACTGCGCTTACTTCACAACATCACTCTCTGTTCAGCCTGTGGCTGGACGGATTCGACTTACCAATTAACAAGTAGGGATTTGTGTAGTCAAACAGTATCCCACCAATCAGTGAACCCCCCACATAGCCCAATGATCGGCCCACAAAGATGTAGGAGATTTCGCTTAAATTTTTGTTGACATTAGTTGCTAGCTCCTTAAACGTAGGTCCCAAAATAGCAATGCTCATCCCCTGAGAACAGAAAGAGAAAATAAAACAAGAGTCACTAAACGTGTAAGTAACAGATAACACAATTTAAATGGATTTCAAGCAGCAGCATTAAGCAGATTGTTTCTGGATCTATTATCTTCTACTTCACACGTGGCTTGTAATCTTCCTCCAGTTCCACAGTGCCTGCTAGTGCCAAGAGGCTAAGTATCAATGAGCTGTTTGCCAAGCTCCTGGGGAGCACAGAAAAGAAAATTCCTCTTTTTAGATCCTGATCAGAAGCAGGAATGCCAGCCAGTTTTCCCAGACTTGCTAATGGAGTCCAAGGGGGACATCAGCCTTACCAGCAAACAGGAACAGTCAGCACAGACCCCTGGAATGAATCCTTTGTTGTGCTGTATCATCAAGGAAGTCATCACAGGAGTCCAACTTTCATTTCTTCCAACACAATTTAAGAGGAAGTGGAGGGATTTCTTTTAGCATCGGATAGAAAACTGACATCAGTAAAACATTAGCTGGTATTTACCGCACGACACTTCACAAAGGATATCAAGGTCATGGGGAGGAGACAAAGGGTTGTCTACTACAATGATACCATTTACAGGGAGAAACAGAAGCTGGGATTGTTCTCCTTATAACACAGGGAAAGGACTACAAAAAGTTTTTGAGCTTATGATGATTGTCAAAAGAATGAGAAAGGGAAATAGAAGAGACTTATCTTCACTCGGAAGGTTGCTACATCGTGGAAAACACTGTCTGACTGGGCGGTGGAAGCAGAGTCCATAAGAACTTTTCAAATGAGGAGTGAATATATTTTTTAAGGGAACTAACTTGCAGGGCTATGGGAGAACAGTGAGATGTTTGTCTATATTGAACAACTCTCTCAGAGTCAGCAACAGAATAGCGAGTAAATGGTCCACTTCTAAGAATCAATAATCTAGCCTTTGCCAATTGTGGTACTTGGTGCCTCTGGTAAATGGACTGCAATCTGCAGACTTTTGAGTCCACTCAAATCAACCTCGAATAAATCCATGTGTAAGGCCAAAAACAATTTGAAGTGTTAGATTTAATCAACTAAACAATTTTGGCAGATTCAAACTTACAGTAATTCGGATTATTAAGTTATGTAAGGGTTATTAAGGAAGTTATGTAATTACATAGCACCTTTCACTTTCCAAGTTGCTTCACAGGCAATTTACCTTTGAAGTGCAGTTACTGTTGTTATTTCGACAAGCACAGCAGCTACACTGAGATAACAAGGTGTAGAGCTGGATGAACACAGCAGGCCAAACAGCATCATAGGAGCAGGAAGGCTGACGTTTCGGGCCTAGATCCTTCGGCATCTGCAGTTCCTACTATCTCTGATACAGCAGCTACACTGCTGGTTAGGGAGTGACAGACTGTGGAAACTCCATTGCCCCTCCCCTTTAGATAGTGCTATAGAATCATTTATATCTCAACTGAAAAGATGGCACTCCCTCAGTACTGCATTAGAGTAACAACACAGAATATCGACTCAAAGTCTGAATTGGTGCTTGAACATAATCTTCTGGACGGAGCGTACTATCACCGAGCTAAGTTGATAGGAATTAACACTGATCATTATGTACCCCCACCGTCAGCAGCCTGTATGTGACACAATCGAATGTGCAGACTACCTTAACGCTGCCCCTCACTGAGGAAAGCTAGCCTGCCCGTTACATTAAACGATACACTCTGTTGTGACAGATGCTGCAGCACACAAAACACCAACATTTCCACTGCCACTTCCCCAGGAAAAATGCTTCTATTCAGATCAGAATCACAATTTTGGAATTTATCCAATGAGGATTATCAGAGTTAGTCGGATTAGACCCTAAACTGGAAAGCAAGCTTGTAGGGCAGACTTGTTCACTCTGCAGATTGTGAACTGTTGTAAGCATTAGAGTCTGGATTGTCAATATAGCACATGCTTCTTAAATTCTCCTCCTTTAGCTACAATATATTACATTTGTTTTGGAACGTAGGAAAGTTACAGAAACAAAAGAGGTCCTTCAGCCCATCACATCTACGCCATCTAAAAAGGAAACAAAAGTCGGCTGGTCCTTGGCTTTGCAGGTGAAAGCACTTCAGGTGCTGACTTTCTGCTGTTACAGAGGGAATGGAGTAGCACTAAAATAATACCCTCGATGCTGCCAGATTTACAAGGAAGTGTCCTGACCACGGTCCTGCAGGACAGTTCCCTCTATCTCAAGGCAGTTCAAATAAAATCGCTGCACTACTCCATACTGAAATATTGCCACCACACAAGTACCAGACAATGACAATCACCAGCAAGAGAGAATCTAACCCTTGCCCCTTGACTCTCAATGGCAATATCATTGCTGAATCCTTCCATGATCAATATCCTGGCCAGGGGTCAGCGGTTTAGAGGAGATGGGAGGAAAAACATTTTCACTCAGACAGTGGTCGGAATCTGGAACTCACTACCTGTAGCGATAGTAGAAGTAAAAACCGTCACAGCATTTAAGCAGCATTTAGACATATACTAGTGATACCCAGGCATTCAAGGCAATGTACCAAGTGCTGGAAGATGGGATTAGAATACTTTGGTGATTGTTTTTGACCAGCGCAGACTTGATGGGCTCTGTGTTCTAAACCTCAACCACTATGTGATCCCACAGCTTTCTAACAGCCTTGTGTATTCCTCTACAGTACAATCCCACAAATAATGCAAATCCTATATCTTCTTCGTACAAAATTCAAGGTGACTCTAAAGAGAAAAAGAGAGCAAGTTTGAAAGGCAAGGCAAGCAATACATGACATTAATCTCTGCTGGCATTATGTACACATTCACCACTTGATACACAACATAGACTTGGCAGCGGTATAGATGTTATTTGCCTTGCGCAGCCCCAACTATAGCTCTTATTTGGTCAGTACAGAAACAAGAGTGTCAGGGAACATACCAGAAAGCCTTCATCCCTCACACAGTTGGCACTACATTAGCAATGCTACAACATCATAAATACACAATTTGTTCATGCAGAAATTATAAGGATTGCTGGTAAAATCAGCCGAATTCAGTCAGCATTTCAATCTAAATAAAAAGCAACTCTGGAAATCATAAGATGGAACAGTGAGTGAAACTAACAGCTGAGATCAAGTTCAGTAACACTAGCCTCATGTACACACTGAAGTCAACTTCAAACCAGCAGCTGATGCCCCAGCAGAGATTAATTCATCAGTGACTGCAAACTAGACCAAACTCCTTCTCATGTGCATGTCTTTGTGCCTCTCTATACAGGATCATAAGACCATTAGACACAAGATCAGAAGTAGGCCATTCAGCCCATCAAAATTCTCCCTGCCATGAAATGAGGTTGATCTGATAATCCACAACTTCTCTTTCCTACCTTTTCCCCATAACCCTTGCTTCCCTTACTAGTTAAAAACCTGTTTACCACAGCCTTGACTATACTTAACAACACATCATCAACAGCCCTCTGTGGTAAAGAATTCCACAGATTTACAACCCTCAGAGTAGAAATTCCTCATTTGTCTTAGAAGTGCAATCCTCTGTCTAATATTATGCCATCTTGTTCTCAACTCTCACAAGGGGAAACTTCTTCTTCATATCTACCATCAAATCTCCTGAGAACCTTGTATGTTTCAATAAGGTTAGTGCTTTTTGCCTAATAAGTCACTCTGAGAACCAGATAAAACAGAGCCATTCAAGATCCCAGCAGAAGGACCACTTGAGAGAGATGCTCACCCACACTCAGATACTGTACAGGAACACAATATACAGCTGCAACCTGCTGACTACTAGATAAGTACCTGATCGCACCAAGGGGCTGAGGCCTAAGACAAGAGATGGAAAACTTGGTATGTTTTATAACATACCAACGATCAAGCAGATCAGTAGAAATCATAAATAAAAGTGCTGTGGCTCAGTGAACACAACAAGTGAGAAATTGTCAAACCTTTTCTCTACAAAAAACCATCAAGGCCAACAGCTACACATCATTTATGTTTGCTAAAGCCACCAAATAATGAAGCAATCTGGAATAGCCGAGTTAGGAGGAATGAACCTATTCCTGTCCTTGCTCCACTCCTCCACTGGTTACGACAAAGCCTGAATTTGAAAAGGAAGGTGATACTGCCACTTTTATTTCTGCAAAGCTCAGGATCAGAAACAGATCAGCCAAGTTCCTCAAGTGACAAAGAACTAGTTTATGCCAACAAAGTTGGTTTAAGCACAGATGCAAGGATTATTAACAATATGTCACCGAAGACTAAAATATACAAATAGATACAACTATCTGTCTTGTAAAATAACACTGACATACAACCTCCATGTCTGGGGAAAAAAAAATAGAAAAACTCTGCAGATTATCTTTTAAAATACTTTGGCCATGTAACAGTTAAATTCAAATAAACAACATATTCACAGATTGTCCAAATGTTGGTCTGTAGCCAAAACCACTTTGTACACAAGGGGTTGGCACTTGGGTATCTTCCTGGATTTCTTCATTCATTCATGTAATGTTAACATTACTAACCATAACTAATTGTCCTAGAGAAGGTGATGGTGAACTGCTACAGTCTTTGGAGCACTGAGACACCCACAGCCCTGTTAGTAAGGGAGTTCCAGAATTACGACACCCCAAAAGTGAAGGGTAGGTGATATTGTTCCACACCGTGATGGTCTGGGGCTTGGTGAGGAACTTGCAGGTGACAGTGCTCCTTATAGCCTCTGACCTTTTCCTTCTAACTAGTAAAGGTCACAGATTTAGAAGGTATTGTCAAAGGAGCCCGGGCGAGTTGCCCCAGTTGTACATCCTGCAGCCACTGTGCTTTTATGGTGAATGTTAGCGAGATGGATGGGACTCTGATGAGGTGACTTCTGGGATCAATTACGGCCGGTTGATAATGCTTTTCTGGAGGCAGTGGTGCAGATGTTGAATTCTCCTTTAGGAACCCACATTGATAACAAGGGTTGCAAAGAAAAGAGCAAGAGAAGCAAAGTTCCTAGTCTGAGGGTGTGTTCAAATCTAATTCTTTTTAACTCACAAACTGGGTCACATGGCCTCTCTCTGAAAATGTTGTAAATTTGATGTCTCGATCTAAGCAGCTTGTTCTATGCAAAGGAACATTGTTCTGCTGTGGCCGGTGTTTTGAAAAGTGTTCTTTTCAAAGTGTTCTTTTAAATCAATAGGAAGAAACGAAATAGGGTCAGATGGTGTAGAATTGAGGAACCGCAAAGGTAAAAAATCCAAGGTGTTCTTTTCAAAAAGTTCAAGCTGCATCAATAGACAACCAGTCAATGTTAATGCTCTGTACATTTCAGACAGGGTCAGAAACCAACAAGACAGCTGAGTCAGCAGTGTCGGGATTCTCCCATTGTTTCCAACAGGTAACTCCAATCTATCTGCACATCAGAATTTTCACGCCTTAATATTTGAGATAATACATCGTCACAACAGTTTATTAAAAGGCTGTAAAACTGACATGCTTTGGTGAAGGCCATACATTTAACACCAGCTCAAAAGCACCAACTGCTTAGGAATATTTGCATTAGATATTCTTCATAATAAAATTAGTGGAGAGAAAAAGATAAAACCACTCTGAACCCACAGGATGATTCCGCTGAAACTTATCACTGTTTCAAAAGTTATATACAAGGTCATGACTTAACGTTCACACAACAAAAGAAAGATTTCGGATAACCAGTATTAGATCGTCAATTTTCTTTCCCAGCAGATAGCAGGCTTTATCACTTGATTGAAAATATTCTGACCACGCTAAGGTATATTCATAACAATCAACAATGCAGCAGTGGCACCGACTCAGATACTGATCAACTCTAACAACAAACATCCTACTATCCCACCAGAGAAAAATACCACCTCTGTATTTCGCCTAGACATTCATTTATATAGCACCTTTCATGACTTCAGGACATTCCAAAGCATCTAATGGCAATGAAGTTGTAAAGTAAGTACAGTAAACTTTGCGCTATCCAGCACTCTAGCCACCGTAACTCTGGACGAACAGGAATTTCTATTAGGTCTGTTTTAGGTAGCAATGTCCTTTATGATCTGATTAGCTCGATCAGTCATGATGCTGTGCAGCCTCTGTTATTGGTGAACATTGAAGTCCCCAACATTGACTAGAGTCTGTGCCCACGCCGCCTTCGGCTTCTTCCAAAGTGTTGTTCAACATGAAAGAGTACTGGTTCATCAGTACCATTAGCATGGGTAATCAGAGGAGGTTTTCTTGCCCATGCCCTGATTCCATGAGACCATGAGGTTTTATTTTTATTCACTTGTGGGACTTGGGAGTCACTAGCTGGGCCAAAATCTATTGCCTGTCCCTAGTTGCCCTTGATAAGATAGTAATGAGCTACCTTGTTGAACCGCTGCAGTGCACCTGCTATAGGTTGATCCACAATTCTGTTACGGAAGGAATTCCAGGAGTTTGACCCATGGGGTCTGGAATCAACATTGAGTTCCTGGAGTAACTCCTTCCATACTCCATATCACTGGATCTCCACTTCTGCTGGGTCTGGTGGGATAAGACATACCCAGAGACTGTGATGCAGTGTCTGGGATACAGTCACACCCATGGAAGCAGACAATGTCAGGCTGCTGCTGCTTGACTAGTCTGTGGGACAGCTCTCCAAATCCTTGGCCTCAGGAACCATACTACGCCTGCGCCCCCACCCCAGTCCCCTGACCTCAGGTACACCCCCAGCCCCACAGTCCCTTGGCCTCAGGAAGCCACCCCCCCTCCCTTGACCTCAGTACCCTAACCCTCCCCCAACCCCCTCCCCTCCCCTCCCCCCGTCCCTTGACCTCAGGACCCCACCCCCGATCCTGCCCGCACTCACCAGCCCCAGGAAGGCCCCGCACAGCAGGAAGGTGTCGACACAGCGGCCTGCCCGCCCTGAAGCCCTTCCCCGGGCCTGGATCACGGTCACCCCGGGCCCGACCTCCTCCCGCAGCCGCAGCCGCCGCCGCCGGTTCTCGAACAGCGTCTCCTCCTCCTCATCCTCATCCTCATCCTCCTCCGGCAGGCGCTGCAGAGGCCGGGAAAACCGAACCTGCTTCTTCCCCGCGGCCGGGGGGGGGCCTCCGGACCGGCTCGGCATCACCGCGGAGCCCGGTGTCACCTACTCCCAGCCGGGAGTGTCACAGGAACCGGATCATCACAAAGAGCGGCACAGACTGTAATCATCACACCCCCTCCTGGGAGCTTCGCCAATCACTGCCGGCATGGTGGCTCAGTGGTTAGCGCTGCTGCCTCACACCGACAGGAACCCGGGTTCAAATCCAGCCTCCGGCAACTCTCGGCTCTGTGTGTGTGTGTGTGTGGTGCGCGGGGGGGAACGATATGAAAGAGGAGAGATTAGGACCGAGTGTTTGGAAAAGGCTAGCAATCAAACACTGGGGAAAAACGAATGAAAATGAGAAGAGGGAGGGTTAGTACAGGACTGAAGGTCTTGCACACTGAATACGGTAAATGAGCTTGTGGCACAGATCGAAACGGGTAGGTATGACGTGGTAGGTATCACAGGGATGTGGCTGCAAGGGGAATCAGGATTGGGAACTGAATATCCAAGGGTATACATCCCATTTGAAAAGACAGGCAGGTGGCCTGAGGGGGTGGGGTTGACTTATTACTGAGAAATGAAATTAAATCAATAGGAAGAAACGAAGTAGCATCAGATGGTGTAGAATCTGTGTGGATAGGATTGAGGAACCGCAAAGGTCAGAAACCCATAGTTTGGAGTTGTGTACAGGCCTCTAAACAGTAGTCAGGAGCTGGGGCGCAGGATACACCAGGAGATAGAAAAGGTGCGTAAGAAAGACAAAATAACAGTGATTGTGGGGGATTTCAATATGCAGGTGGACTGGGAAAATCATGTTGGTAGTGGATTGCAAGAAAATGAGTTTGTGGAATGGCTTTTTGGAGCAGCTCGTGGTGGAGCCCACGGGAACAGGCAATACTGGATTTAGTGTTGTGCAATGAGGCAGACTTGATAAGGGAGCTTAAGGTGAAGGAGCCCTAAGGAGGCAGTGATCATAATATGATTGAATTTACCCTGCAATTTGAGAGGGAGAAGATAGAATCAGAGGTAATGGTATTACAGCTGAATTAAGGCGACTACAGAGGTATGAGGGAGGAATTGACTGGAAGAGGAGCCTAGCAGGAAAGACAGTGAAACAGCAATGGCAGGAGTTTCTGGAAGTAATTCAGGAGACGCAACAAAAATTCATCCCTAGGAAAAAGAAGCATGGTACAGGGAGGATGAGGCAACCATGGCTGACTGAGGAAGTCAGGGATAGTATAAAAGCAAAAGAGAAAGCATATAATGTGGCGAAGGGCAGTGGGAAACCAGAGGACTGGGAAGCTTACAAAGACCAACAGAGGGCAACAAAAAAAGAAATAAGGAGGGAGAAGATTAAATATGTGGATAAGCTAGCCAGTAATATAAATGAAGACTGTAAGAGTTTCTTTAGGTATATAAAGGGCAAAAGAGAAGCAAAGTGGACATCGGACCAATGGAAAATGACGGTGGAGAGATAGTAGTGGGGAACAAGGAAATGGCTGAGGAACTGAATAATTACTGCACGTCAGTCTTCACAGTGGAAGACACGAGTAAAATCCCAAAAATTCAAGAGAGTCAGGGGCAGAGCTGAGTATGGTGGCCATCACCAAGGAAAAGGTGCTGGTGAAATGATTGGCCTGAAGCTGGACCAGATGGACTACACTGCATAGTTCTAAAGGAGATAGCTGAAGAGATAGTGGAAGCGTTAATGATGATCTTTCAAGAATCGCTAGAGTCAGGGAAGGTCCCAGAGGACTGGAAAATCACTAATGTGACACCCCTGCCTGTTTAAAAAGGGAGTAAGGCAAAAGATGGAAAATTACAGGCCGATTAGCCTAACCTCGGTCGCGGGTAAGATTTTGGAATCCATTTTAAAGGATGAGATTTCTGAATATTTGGAAATGTATAGTAAAATAGGGCAAAGTCAGCATGGTTTCATCAAGGGGAGGTCATGCCTGACAAATCTGCTAGAATTCTTTGAGGAAGTAACGAGCAGGGTGGACCAAGGAGAACCAATGGATGTTATCTACCTGGCCTTCAAGAAGGCATTTGACAAGGTGCTACACAGGAGGCTGCTGAGTAAGGTAGGGGCCCATGGTGTTGGAGGCAAGTTGCTAGCATGGATAGAAGATTGGCTGTCTGGCAGAAAGCAGAGAGTGGGGATAAAGGGGTCTTTCTCAGGATGGCAGCTGTTGACAAGTGGTGTACCAGAAGGGTCAGTGTTGGGACCACGACTTTTCAGTTTGTACATTAATGATCTAGATGAAGGAACCGTGGACATTCTGGCTAAGTTTGCAGACGATACAAAGATAGGTGGAGGGACAGGTAGTATTGAGGAGGTGGCAAGGCTGCAGAAGAATTTGGACAGGTTAGGAGAATGGGCAAAGAAGTGGCAGATGGAGTACAACGTGGGAAAGTGTGAGGTCATGCACTTTGGTAAGAAGTATAAAAGCATGGACTATTTTCTAAATGGGGAGAAAATTCAGAAGTCTGAAGTGCAAAGAGACTTGCAAGTTCTAGCCCAGGATTCTCTCAAGGTAAACTTGCAGGGTGCATCAGTAGTCAGGAAGGCAAATGCAATGTTGGCAATTATTTTGAGAAGACTTGAATATAAAAGCAGGGATGTACTACTGAGGCTTTATAAGGCTCCGGTCAGGCCACATTTGGAGTATTGTGTGAAGTTTTAGGCCCCATATCTCAGGAAGGATGTACTGACCCTGGAGCGGGTTCAGAGGAGGTTCACGAGAACGGTCCCAGGAATGGAAAGCTTAGCATATGAGGAACGTTTGAGGACTCTGGGACTATACTCATTGGAGTTTAGAAGGAAGAGGGGCGATCTAATTGAAACTTACAGAATACTAAATGGCCTGGACAAAATGGATGTTGGGAAGATGCTTCCATTGGTAGGAGAGACTAGGACCTGAGGGCATGGCCTTAGAGTAAAGGGAAGACCTTTTAGAATGGAGATAAGGAGAAACTTCTTCAGCCAGAGAGTGGTGAATCTATGGAATTCACTGCCACAGAAGACTGTGGAGGCCAGGTCATTAAGTACATTGAAGACTGAGATAGATCAGTTCTTGATTATCAAGGTGATCAAGGGTTACATGGAGAAAGCAGGAGAATGGGGTTGAGGAACTTATCAGCCATGATTAAATGGTGGAGCAGACTCGATGGCCGAATGACCTAATTTCTGCTCCTAGGTCTTATGGTGTGGACTTGTTGGGCCGAAGGGCCTGTTTCCACACTGTGGGAATTTTATTCTGTTCTAAATAAGATCCTGGCTGATCTGTGATCTAAATCTATATACCCACCCTTGACCTGTATCCCTTAATACCTTTCCTGAAGAACAATTATCCATCTCAGATTCAAAATTACCAACCGATCCAGCATCCAGTGCCATTTTTTTCATATTCATTCACAGGATGTGGGACTCGCCAGCTTGGAAGCATTTATTGCCCATCCCTAATTGCCAGAGGGCAGTTAAGTGTCAACCACATTGCTGTGGGTCTGGAGTCACATGTAGGCCAGACTAGGTAAGTACAGCAGTCTCCTTCCCTAAAGGACATGAACCAGATGAGTTTTTCTGACAACGGATTTGTGGCCATCATTAGACTCTTAATTCCAGATTTTTTATTGAATTCAAATTCTACCATCTACCCTGTCTTTTCCTGTTATATCTTGAAATCAGTTCACACCTTAACCTTCTAAATTCTACTGAAATCAGACCTAATTTATATAATGTCACCTCATAACCTAACCCCTGAAGTCCAGGTATCATTCTTGTTAATTTACAGTGTACTCCCTCCTTCGAAGATGTGGTATGCAGGTCTACACACAGTACTTCAAGTGGGATCTAATCACGGTTTTAGATAACTGTAATATAGACCAATAAGACATTGTGATATGGTGCAATGATACATTGTAAGGCAGCAATTATGCTGTAACACAGAGCAATAACCATGAGACCATAAGATATAGGAGCAGAATTAGGCCATTCAACCTATCAATCTGTGCTGCCATTCAATTATGTCTGATATGTTTCTCAATCCCGTTCTTCCTTCTCCCGTAACCCTTGATCCCCTTACCAATCAAAAAGTCATGTTGGGCTGAACCAGCAACACCTACATCCCATAGACAAATAAAAATAACACAGTTTGCATTTATATAGCACCTTTAACATTCGGGTTCAGGATTCACCCAGATCCAACTTTTGTATGCTGCTGCAGAGTGTCTGGTTAAAGTCAATGGGTCCCTTCGCTTTGGGAGAGGCGTACGCCGGGATTACCCCTTGTCCTGCTGGCTGTATTCCCTGTGCATGGAGCCTTTCCTGTGCCTCTTGCAGAGGAGGTTGTCGGGACTGGTTGTGCGTGAGTCAGGCAGGGCCATGGTCCTCACTTTCAACAACCCGGCTGACCTGTGGAGGATGCATGAATGCCAGGCAGTGTACTCAGCAACGTCTTCTGCCAGGATCACCTGAGCCAAATGTTCCGGACTCCCGGTCAGTCTGTGGCGGGTGGACTCTCTGCCGGAGGAGTTACGGGGGTTCAGCTGGAGCACCACCCATCTCCTCTGTCTAAGGGTCTACCATAGCCCGGCTGAGGGATCCTGGATGGGGACAAATTGGCAGGAGCTGGAGGCCAAAGTCCCCCATGCCATTGGACAGGCCCGCTCTGAGCGCTGTCCAACAGGAGTCGAGTGCTTCTCATAAACCAGCTGGTGGCCTCCATGTTGTGGCACTGGGTGGTCTCTTTGGTTCCTCCTGGTTTTGTCGCTGACATCCAGAGAATGTTGGTTCACTTCTTCTGGGACAAAAGGATGCACTGGGTTACGGCACAGGTTCTAAATCTCCCAATTGAGGAGGGCGATCAGTTGCTGGTGTGTGTCCACACCCAAGTGGTGACTTTTCACCTTCGGACCTTACAGCGATACCTTTACATTGAGCTTCCTCCTGGGTGGTACGCCCTGACGATGTATTTTTTCCTGCCAGGAAAACCTCAACTACGACACGCAGCTCCTATTTATCGCCCGTGAGGGTTTGCAGGTTGCCCTCAGGACGCTGCCTGTCTTTTACCAGGAACCTGATCACTGTCTGGGAGATGGTCGACTCGCGTCGTGCCTACCTTCCGGCAGGAATGGCGGCCATCGTCACAGAGCTGCTCTCAGGAATCCGCGCCTCCATAGTCGCAGGTTCGACTGCCTGGCGCGGGGGGGAGGGCCGTGGCTGTGGGGGTGACCAGTTTCGGGGACGTGTTGGGTGGCGGGGGCCTGGGCAGGAATTGGCACACAGGGCCGCGGTAGACATCCGGTTCATGGCCACTG